ATTTTCAAATAGATATGCCATTTTGGAAAGAAACCCTTCAAATGGGGCTGGGGATTGATCCAATGGAAGTAGAGGCGGGTAGGGTTGGATAATCATGAAACGGTGAGATTCCAAGGTTATGCACCATTATAATTCAAATGAACAGTCGATTGCTGATTCTGCTCACAAGCATTGCACTCGGACAAGTTGTTGATCAGTACATTGTCTCGGACTGGGATAAATTAAACTACTGTATTACACAGAGGGTAAAAAAGGCGACTGAGGTAATTTAAACATACTCTTTTTGAGTTTATTTTGAATTTTTACAACAAAGAAAACGCTTAAGTAGTTTTAAACGATTGGAACAAGAGAAAAATAAATATGAAGTTTCAGATTAAAAAAAGAACCGAAACAGAAAAAGGTGAGTATCGAGTTGGCCCAGCAGTCTCGTACCCTTACTGGGAAGTTAGGGTGGTGAGAGAATTTGCTTTAGTCTCATATTCGATCCACTGAGCTACGGCTCACCTCGAAAAACACTTGGCAGGAATTAGATTATTAAACGTTCGTCAGTGATGGTGCAATTCATCAGTGTGATGCAATGCATTGAAATTCAGCCGCCTCCGAAACGGGCATCCAGAGCTATAGCTAGGTCTGCGCGTCTCCGCGCATTTCCAATGCAGCGAAGACCTAGACCTAGCCCTAGACAACAAATTCGGATGCAGCCTATGTGTGGGTTTTATTCTGTGGTGCCATCGTACGACGCGTACGGAGATGTGCCAATGAGAGACATGTTAATATCAAAGTCCGTTTCTTGGTTGTGAGAACTTTTTCTTTCACGCAACTGAATTTGCAACAGACAGTAAGTGCCATTTTGGTACTTTTCAGAATCCTACTCTCTCTCAGTTGTCCGTAGTCAGTCTTTAAGCTTTAAACTCGCTGAAGACAACTTTCGTGAGTCAAATAGCGATTAAACAATTTAGGGACAAATGGTACACTGCTAAACCTCTTTCATAATTGTGGAAATGTTGTATGTTTTCGAATGGATATATCATTTTGGAAATTATTTGGACTTTGGATGCATCCGATGGAATTAAAGATGGGCAGGATTGGATAATAAATGGCAAGATTCCAAGGTTATGCATGATTCTTATTAAAATGAACAACGAATTTCCGATTTCTCTCACAAGCATATTCAATTGGACAAGATTTGGATCAGCACATTGTCTTTGCACTGGGGAAAATTAAACTACTGATTGATAGCGCTTTCCTACTCAACTGATTTTCTGATCTACAGTAATTTATTGTAACAATCAGTAATTATTGATACGGTGAATATAACTTGACATAATTATACATTTATGATTCACAGATCGGATGCATGAAAAGTGAAAAGTATATATCCAACTTCAGTTTAAACAAATGAATTACATAGAGGGTAAAAAAAGGCTACGGCTGTGATCTTAACATGCCTATTTTTTAAGTTTCTTTTTAATTTTCACATCAAAGAAAACTTTAAAGTAGTTTTAAACGATTGAAACAAGAGAAAAAAATATGAAGTTTCAGATTAAAAAAGAACCAAAACAGAAAAAGGTGAGTATCGAGTTGGCCCAGCGGTCTCGTACCCTTACTGTGAAGTTAGGGTGGTGAGAGAATTTGCTTTAGTCTCATATTCGATCCACAGCGTATTGATCAGCGCATTGTCTTTGCACTAGGGAAAATTAAACTACTGATTGATAGTGCGCTCCTTCTCAACTGATACTCTGATCTACAGTAATTTATTGTAACAATCAGTTATTATTCCTACGGATAATTTTACATTTATCATCAACAGATCGGCTGGCATGAAAAGTGAAAAGTATAAATCCTCTTCAGTTTAAAAAACATAATTACATTGGAGGGGTAAAAAAGGCCTATCGGTGTAATAATTCAAGACCGCATTTTCGTGTATGATGAATTTTCCGAACAAACAAAAGTTAGAGCAGTATTTCACGATCGCAAACATGAGAGAAATGAGAGAAAGTTTTATACAAAAAAGAATTAAGAAAAGAAAAATAGAAAAAGGAGAGTATCGAGTTGGCCCAGCGGTCTCGTACCCTTACTGTGAAGTTAGGGCGGTGAGAGAATTTGCTTTAGTCTCATATTCGATCCACTGAGCTACGGCTCACCTCGTAAAACACTTGGCAGGAATTAGATTATTAAACGTTCGTCAGTGATGGTGCAATTCATCAATGTGATGCAATGCTTTGAAATTCAGCCACGTCTGAAACGGGCATCCAGAGCTATAGCTAGGTCTGCGCGTCTCCGCGCATTTCCAATGGAGTGAAGACCTAGACCTAGCCCTAGACAACAAATTCGGATGCAGCCTATGTGTGGGTTTTATTCTGTAGCGCCATCGTACGACGGAGATGTGCCAATGAGAGACATGTTAATATCGAAGTCCGTTTCTTGGTTGTGAGAACTTTTTCTTTCACGCAACTAAATTTGCAACAGACAGTAAGTGCCATTTTGGTACTTTTCAGAATCCTACTCTCTCTCAGTTGTCCGTAGTCAGTCTTTACAGCTTTAAATTCCCTAAAGACAACTTTCGTGAGTCAAAATAGCGATTAAACAATTTAGGGACAAATGGTACACTGCTAAACCTCTTTCATAATTGTGGAAATGTTGTATGTTTTTCAAATGGATATATCATTTTGGAAATAAACCTTTCATTTGGACTTGGGATGCATCCGATGGAAGTAAAGATGGGCAGGATTGGATAACAAATGGTAAGATTCCAAGGTTGTGCATGATTCTTATTAAAATGAACAACGAATTTCCGATTTCTCTCACAAGCATATTCAATTGGACAAGATTTGGATCAGCGCATTGTCTTTGCACTGGGGAAAATTAAACTACTGATTGATAGCGCGCTCCTACTCAACTGATACTCTGATCTACAGTAATTTATTGTAACAATCAGTAATTATTGATACGGTGTATGTAACTTGCCATAAATATATATTTCCCATTCACAGATAGGATGGCATGAAAAGTGAAAAGTATATATCCTGCCTCAGTTTAAACGTCAAATGAATTAGATTGGAAGAGTCAAAAAAGGCTACGGCTACGGGAAAAGTTGAGTATCGATTTGGCCCAGCGGTCTCGTACCCTCACTGTGAATAATTCTGCTGCTACTTTTGAAAAAGACATTTTCCTTTGGTAATCTTTTTTTAATAAAAAAGAAAAGCAGTCATGTAAACTCTTAACTACGCAAGACAGGCAGTCACCTCTTAGTCTTTTGTTTTCAAGCAATGACCGCGGGAAGATACTGCGTCTCTCTAATATTGTCTGTGATTTTTGGCTCCTCCCATAAGATTTGGCCTGCTGAATATTGGAATTTGCATTTGTACCGTTGGAAATGCTTATTTGTTTAGTGTGAATGTTCCAGTGTCAGGTCTGTGCAAAGGGTTAAAAGGATAGCGCCCGGATAGGGCCTGGAAAGATAGGCCCGACTGACTAGACAATGAGTGCTTTCGTTGCTGTACATCTGAATAGCTTGTAAGTGTGACTGAAATTCACACACGGAGGTCTTGTGGTGGTCTTGCTGTATCTTATGGGACCTTGAAATGGTTTTTAACGGGTCTAGACCTGCAACACTGTAACCAGGAGCAGTGAAAACATTTTTTAAAAAGTAAAGCTGCAACGGAAAGAATGCCGCGGCCTCGAAAAGCTTTGAGTGACATTTTGCTAATTGGAGACAAGACGACAAGCGCAACAAACGCACTATTCTCAGTCCACTAAATAACATGGCGACAGACGGTCATGACAGTTCACGGCCACCAGACATGCCAGAGATCAGTGTTCACTGCTCACAGGAATGAAAACTAATTATGCTGTAATATTCACATCAACTGCTGTAAATTATGGCGTCCAAGCTGAAAAAGATAGCCTGTGACGTGAGCATTGATGACCCCGTGAGTTCGACTGACGATTCTGAACTGGGGAGTGAGGACATCGACTTGCAATTTACCGGGCGATTGTCTTTCCGGAAGTCTGCCCTTGGTGGTGACGACAGCGGTGATCTGTCCGCCGATGACGAGGACAGTGACAGAGAGAGTCAGCGTGGTGCAACCGGTGATGTCTCTCGTCGTAAAGGTATTGTTAAGACACTGATTAATAAAACAACTCAAAATGATGTTTCACATCACATGAATCATTCAATCAATCTTGTTTATTTTTCACATAACAATACAGTAAATATCACAGATTTACAGCAATAAATGTGGATGGGGACCTCTAAAAAGCAGAGCTTGTCTAGTAGTAGTGCCCCCAGAAATTAAGTTAAATAACAACTACAAACACACGCATAACGGTATACACACCCACACTTGTTTTACATACCTTTGTTCTCCTGTGGTTGAGGTAAATGCTCTTTTTTCTCCCACTAGGATAACTCCTTCGAGCTGTATTTTTGATGATGATTTCCTGGACTGTTCCTCTTCGTTTTATTGCAGATAACCTTGACCCTTGAATTTTTCACTCTGTTTTTATAAAACTTATCCTCAGGCCATAATTTATTGATTAGGCCCTATTAGTAGGAATATTGCCGATTGGGAACTCACCGGTAAATTTAAAATTTCCAGTACCGCAGTAATGGAGTTACTGCGATAATATAGAGACTGAGTATACATGTAGCTCAATTCAGAGGCTTTGTACAGTGTGCCCTCACGAAGGACAGGTCTTTGTTCCTGACTGATATGTACATGCATGTACATATACATGTATTGAGTACATACTCTGTACTTGAATTGCAAGTGTATTTAAATAACAAAAATGCCCTCTGTGAGGGCGCTTCAATGCATGTAACCTCTCTCTTTTACAAGTGTTGCTTAGACTTGCAAGAGTAACGTGAAGCACTGGGATAACTTGGCCCAGACTCTGTGCTACATATTCCATGTATCTCCATACCCCTAAGTCCTGCCACCTGTTGAAAAAATGTGGAGAAGTTTGTATTGTCATTTTTGACTTACAAATTGTCACCCATAGTAATTCGTACATAACAAGCAGGGGAAAAACATACGGGGCATAACTAGATGTATGTACATGTATATACTTTCCATTTAAATTCTAAACTAAAAATGTGACTAGAAAACAAAATATTCAGCTGTGAAATACTGACCATAAAACCCTGAATCTCAAGATGGTAATTACAGGATTAAGGAAGGTGTACGTGTGTATACATACATGTAGAACCCAGTCATTGTAACTTTGCCCCTCAGAAGTTAAGGCACGAAGAATATGCTGTTGATTTTTAGGATGGAGTTACGTGTACATGTAGGTTCCTGGCAAAAATTGCCAAGAGTAAGTGAATAACTTGAGGTAATTGAATTTAAAGATGGTTGCCACAGACTATTTCATGAGCTGGTTTCTCGTAACCAAAACATACAGCTTCCAATGCAGACAGTGTCGGCAGTGTCCACAGCCTTCAACTTGGTTCAAAGGCCAACAAGTTTCATCCTGGAAGGACCATCTTTGAGGTTGTGTCAGCCAAGACAATGAAAGATGGCAACTCTAGATTTGTCGTAAGTAACAAGTGGATACAAACAATTGATGCAGAAAATGATAAAACAATAGAGAAGGGGATGAAAATTGACAGTTTTCGTGAAAATGGAAATATCCAACTCCTCCGTCGTTGATAGTTTGTCAGTGTGTTACTGTTGGGTGCCCCCCCCCCGAGATATGTCCTCTCTCCTGATTATGTCCATGGATATGTTCACCCAGTATGTATAATTTGGAACTTGGGACACAAACATTTTCTTGTTGAGCATGCTTCGGGCCCTTGTCATTCCTAGCATACATTAGCCTTCTGTCTCACCTGTTTGGAAGACCTGCATACAGACTGCAAAGTCATATTAGTATAATCTCTGCAATCCGCATGTACATGTAGGTAAAGATACTGAAGAATGGATCTATAGAACATCTCCATTTCTTTAGCTCTTTCTTCTTCAATGACACTGATAATGAGATCAGTGCCCAGATAACATGCTCGTTTTATCAACGTTACATTTTGGATTGCAGTTGTATACTGTGGCTGTCCTGAGAACAATTAAGAATGACACCTCACAAGCCACTGTTGAGAGGAGATACTCTGATTTTCACCAACTGAACACCAGCCTACGGAAGAGATTCCCACGGATAATGGAGAACATTGAGTTTCCAAGGAAGACTCTGACCCGAAGCTTCAAGCATGATTTTATCGCTGAACGGAGCCGGGCTTTTGAGGCCTTCCTGACATGCATCTACAAGTACGAGTGCATCCGCCTGTCGGCAGAGTTCCAGGACTTCTTCTATAATCATGACCTGCGGATCGCCTACCGCTATATGACCCAGGGCAACTTCCAGGAGGCGGTGCCCTTCCTGCAGAACACCCTCCACCTGCAGGAGAAGATGCTGGGGCCTGAGCATCCAGACACAGCCCGGACACAGTGCGCACTCATCGTGGCATACATGTCTCTGGAGGAGGGTGAGGCCCACGTGCACGGCTATGCCGAGTCGGCCTGGGAGACCATTGGCAAGGATGAAACGAACCCTTTCCTCATACCACTGCTGCAGATCCTGATTGGCATCCGATGGAGGCTGCAGCTGGACAAGCGGGACCTGGAGAGCCGGCTGACGCGCTACGTAAAACAGGACATGGCAGGACCCATCAAAATGCCTACGCTGGAGGATCTGATCATGCAGTGTCTCTCCCATATGTAGAGCCGCCATTGTTCCTTGGATGCACCCTCAAATTCTTGAACAAGATTTTGCAATATTTATTTCCTTACCTTGCAATTGAGGAGCCTGCTATTCCATTCACTGAAGAGGTTACAGGGCGGAAAGTTATTGTTTACAAGCAGAGCTTAAATAGTTCACCGCCTTAACTGCCATTTAACAATATGGAAATTAAAAAAATCCTTAATCTTGCCTTTGTTTTCAGGCAATTTAACAAAACAAAGTTACAAAAGTTGTAATTGCACTTGCCAAATTACCCCTCATTTTGAGCAGATACAAAATAGTAAACAAGCACAACAAACTCAGTATTTGTACTGATCTCCACTGAGGCAGGAACGTGGATGTTTGGACTGTACTGGGTAGCCCTTTTTTCTCTTCATTATGTCTAGACAAAGATACCATACCACCTTTCAGTCTCAGGTGTATGTAAGGCCACACTTTTTTCTTTCAGGGATTACAGATCAGCTGGCTTTTTCTGTCCAAAGAGGAAATAAAATATTGTTTGATTTTGGCCCATTTTTAATTCTGTATTTCCACTGAATTTTTAGATTCTTGTAGCATAAGGGTCAAGAAAAAAATTAGGAAAAAAGATAACAATTATGAACACCATCGTTTACAGCAACACCATGCAACACAAAAAAATTACTTCATTTTCTCTGGCTTTTTACCAGTTTCCTTGTTTATCAAAACCATCGGGACAGAAACATGGCTGACCTTGATTCAGAAGTACATGTAGATGTTTTCCTTTCATCTCCAGCACTGCCTCAAAATGAGAAGAAAAATCTCTGTAATCTTAAAAACAGAAAGAAAATGTGGCCTGTAAAACTAGATATTAAACTGTTTGGTCGAGTGGTATGTAGAATCCAGGTCAAATTGATACGGATGTTGAATTTTATCCGTTGCAACTCTGATATCTTACAGATTGTGATCATATAATGCATTGTGCAATGTTAGCTTTTATACTACTTCCTCTAACTTTTTAACGTTCTGGTTGTGATGGGGGAATATGGTTACCTTGAGACGGCTTCTGTTTGGGCTGACACCATCGCTTGCAGATTCAGGGTGCCAAAGGGGGCCACCCCCACCTCACCTCAAAAAAAAAAAAAAATCGAAAAATAATTAGTGAAAGGTCTGTTTTTATTTCCCTTCCTTATATATAAAAATGAGCATGTAAAAATCCCCAAAAATGTAGCTTCACCTCCCAGAAAGGCCATAGGCATGTAAAAGTATGTGAAAAAACTCCAGATTTTTGGACCCCCCCCCAAAGCAATGAAACAACTTTGCTCCCCAACTAACTTTGGTTGTGGATCCGCCCTCGGACACCATCGGTCAGTAGGTTTGCATAATACGTACACGCACTTGCACTTTGCTCATTTCCAGTCTGTGGTCTGTTATGGGGGGGGGAGGTATGTAGACTGTCCCCTTTCCCAACGTCCTCATAACTGAATGGTGATTGAGGTGGGAACAGTCTTTCTGTTCACTGATGATTGGGCTCCACTGGGGACGAGCGTACGTGTATATTTACAGTACTCGTTGATTAATAGCATTTTGTTATCCTTTGGTAATGAACTTTAGAATGAGTGTTTGTGAACTGCATGGTTAACTGATCTTTATGCATGAATTTTGCGGTGTGTTAGAAATGGAGTGTTCCTTTTAAGACTTAAAAGGATCGCAATAGTTTTATGCTGAATGAAAAGTTCCTTTGTTTCGTCCTGTCGTGTGTATACATAGAGTATGTGTAAAGAATTATTTCATTGCTTGCCATAGCCCGAGCCATTCTTTTTAGACATGTACAGGTAGAAATTTTGATATGCAGTGCGCATTCCCCTGCTTGAAATGTGGTATTATTCCACAGTAGTGCTGGCCTTTCTGTAACACTGGATGAGATCATCCGTATAAGTACTGCCTTCGACGGATTAGTCTCAGTCACTCATGGTGCCAACTGACTTTTAATGCGTGTCTGGTGTTTTGCCTGAAGATTTGTTTTAAATTGACACAAAAGCCTACAGGTGAAGATCCGTTTAAGAACACCTTTTTGCCGAGCTAGATGAGACGAGTTGCCATGTCTAAATTCTTTTTTTTTTCAGTCCTTGCTAAGCCATAATAGTTTTTTTACCGGAAGATACCAATGACCGTGTTTGGCTGATTCGTTGTACATTTCTAAACTACTGTTGTGACGTTTTGAATGTACATGCACCTTGCATCTTCTCTTGATCGTGAAGAAATCCACACAGCTTATTCATCATGTACATCTTGTAGCCGAATATTGTGAGTGAAATGGTGTGCAGAACTCATGTATGTGTAATTCTTCAGATGGGTTTGAGATGTTCGAACGCTGCAACAGTTAAAATGCTATTGATAATACATGTACATTTACTTTAATCGTTAAGTACACGTAGTGAGTTCCTCTGATTTTTGCATTTCTCTCCACAAACTTTCTTTTCAGCTGAATAGATATATTTTTAATGTAAAAAGCCAGTTTGTTTTTTTTAAGTATCGAACTCATTTGGCCACGGTATATCAAAATGTCAATTGTATTTTATAATTTGTCAGTATTATGAAGGACACATTATATTGCTTCCTGCTGATGTTTTAAGATTTTACCTCTCAGCTGTTACTTTGTAACTCAGCCTCGCCAAAGGTTGGCTAAAGGACAATCTCTAATTGTACATGTATTTTATTTTTGCTACTCAGGTTGCCTTATAAGATTTTTGTATTTAATTTGCCACAACAGTTAAAATGCTTTGGTTTCCCAATACATGCAATTTGCAAACGGATCTAAGCGTCCCGTTTGCAACAGCCTTTTGTTTTTTCATGTGTCACATTTTTCTTTTCATGTTTGGCGAAATGCATGGAAAGAAGAGCCGCGGAGTTACAACAAGCGGCTTGCCTTAAACACTTACATGTACATGTACTTGCTTCATGTTAAAATGTACAACCGGTGCACTACAAATGAACTATATAAACATTTATTTATGATCTTCTGGGCTGGACGGGCAAACGTCGTGGTTTCACTTTGCAAACGCCATTGGTCACTGTTTCAAACGCCGTGGTTTTAAGTTAGAAGTCAACTCGGGCTCATTTTCCACTCGACTGAGTTTAAAAGTTGAACCTCGATGTATGCATGAACCATGGCGTACGAGGTTTTACGTTTTATAAGTAGAATCGGGACATTAGAAAGTTGAATCACGAACTTTGAAAGTTGAACCATGACATTTTAAAGTTAGAGTGCGATGTTGAACCACGACGTTTGCCTGCCTGATTTGTAATACCATATCTATCTTATCCACGGCTACAATTTCAGTCCATTGATTAAACTTTACGTTTTGCTCTTTAACGGTTACTGGTGCTTTGATGTGTTATATAGAAATTGTAGGCATTTTTATGAAACAAAGTGTTGTAATTAAAGTACTTATCGTTCTCAGTGAATGTGATCGTGAAAGATAACTAAGCTTAACGTTAGACTCTGTGTATGTTGGTAACCTTGTAGCGTCTTTCAGGCAATCTTTTCCCCCTCAATATTTCCTGAATGTGCATCATGAAAGTCCGACTATTTTTGAGTTATCCTGTGCAAGACACTCTTTTTCTGTGAGAAGCAATTACATACTGTGCGAAGTTTGCACCCTGAAAACTGTGTTTATCAATTAAGCACGATCTCGCTTTCAGTTTGTAAACATGCGTAGAATCTAACTCCTAAACACCTTTAGTTTCTAAGCACTTCCCATCAATACTCTCAACTTGATTAGTATTTAAATATAAGCTGGTAACGAGAGTGAGTGTGTATAATCGATAACGACGTTCGCTGAACCTGTAATTGTTGTTATCAACAAACAAAATGCCTAAAATGTGGTGAATTCGTCGTTGTTGCCTGATTCTAATGATTAATAACTGTGTACAAATGTAATACACATCATATCATCATGTAATGGTTGGCAGCGTAGACACTGGTGTAATTATATCGCAATCCAGATCTTAGTTTGCATATTCCACGCGCTATTCAACAGCTGAACAAGTATCACAGACACGTCTGTGAACATTAAAAAAATGATGAAAACATGAATTTTCTCTTCTGAATAGAGATGACACAGTTTTCAGCTGTGCGCGCTAAGAATTCAATCCCACCATGTCTCCCTGGTGTAAAACGGTCTCAGTTATCCGGGTTGCTGATTTTTGTTTCTTCAGGACGAATTCAGCGCATAATGAAGCAACGGTGTTTATATTGTCATGTGCTCACTTACCCGCAGTACCAGACTTTCAAAAGATCACTTTAATACAAGTAACAGTCCATTAATATTATGGAGCTATACAAAAAGCAATCCTTTGGTAGCTCCGTGGCCCTATCTGATGTGCTTTATCTATCGTCACTGCTTTCATAAATTGGCGAAACAGCGTGTGATTTGGGAATGTTCATTGTTAATAAAACAGTACAAAGATATTATGTTACAAATTATAAAGAAATTGTTTTTCCTTTTTTATTAACATACTGCTAAATTAAGGCCTACTTACTCGAACAGCTATTAATCACTTAATAGCCCTTGAACTGAACTAGACGTATGGGTTTGCAAGTCCTCCGTTTAGTCTCGGTACTTAAAACAAAATGGACTGGAAGAAATTGGCACAAGGATCCAAAAGTTATTCTTAGCCTTGAAAGGTTCATGCAGAGCGTTTGGGGGCTACCTCTCTTAAAAATGCACCTTTTTTTCATATAGTGATATTTTAAAATGTGTGGTTGGTACTTTCAAAGGTAATTTGGTTCCTTTTAGTTTTTATACTTATGATAGTGTCCATGTTCACGAGCAAAACTGTGATATTTTGGGGAGAAAACCTCACTGTTGGACATTTTGATATTTTGCTGTCCTGAAGTACCCTTGTGATGATGATTTATTGTTGTGTATGAAAAAGTGCATGCGGGAGAACGACGCTTTTCTCAGAGTCAATTTTGGGTTCTCAATTAAAGAAACCTGTAAGCGAAACAGTGTCTTCCCTGAATGACACCATAGGCAACCGCTTGAAAGATTTTTCATTAAAAAGTGCATTTTCCCGCCTTGAGCACAAACACCCTCTCATCGGTCGAAAAGAGCCATGTGGGTTGGGAGGTTTCATTTTGCTTGTAGCGACGCCCCTGTAACGTGTGCATTTCTTAGTCGTTCGTATCGACTTCCATATCTGCCGTCGCCCGTTGTGCAGCGCCCTCGCTTTTGTTTTTTGTTTTGTTTTGTTTTTTTGGTCACACTTGCACAGTGCTAGTTTTCACTTTGACCCTTGATCTTTTCACATACTTGTTTGATCGATCCGCCATGCCTGTCTGTCCATCCACGATATCCCAGCAGATCATACTCCCGGAAATACAAGAGTAACTTTGAACTGAATGTATATAATAAATTAATTACATTGTTTGGTACCTTAATATCTTTTATAATAGGCGAACTGATTCAGGTATACCTACGATGAAATCTGCGGTATAGGTATACTCCAAATTAGTTATGACTTGTGTTGCACGTAGGCATACAGAAGTTTTTTAAACAGTGCTATGTTACTTTGTTAACCTCATAAATAGTGCTAACATGCAGGGCTACCTGTGCTCATTGGCCTATCCACCATGGCACACACACACACACGCAAAATCAATATTTCCGGAAATTAAACCAGGTAATAATTGCCCCAGCATTCAACAAACAGTTACTATCCACAGTCCAATTGACAAAAACAATTTGCTGTCTAGTATTTGTGAATTTCAAGGTGACATTTAGAGGAAAAAATGGACTGTCTGTATCGGCTGGCAGATTTCTTTCTAGAATTTCATGAAAACAAGTCAGCACATTTGTGCAGTAGGCAAGAGTGAATTGCACTGCGGATAAGTTTGTCTAAACATTTTTGGGAAAATTATTTTTTCCCTGAAAAACACTTGGTTGAATTCTCAGACAGGCTACGGGCGACGGACAACGGGCATCGCACGACGGGCGACGGAAAATGGCCTAGGCCTATATGAAAATAGAAAATGGCAGAATTGGGACATAACAAAAAGCAAGAGGCGACAGACGATGCACGACGGACGAAGGGCGACGGCAGATATGGAATTCGTTCGTGAACCAGGGAAGTGCAGTTCCGACCGAACTAGCCTCTGTTGCTAGGAAAATTGCGCCCTCTCTTGGTCCAGCTCAGGGCTCGCACACTAAACCACGACAGGATGCCGAATACATGTAGTTCCCCCGTTTAGGCTATACATGTATTGAAAAAGAGCATTAAGTTGCACAAACAAACATGCGCCAGTGAAACATTGTATGGCCCTTTCGCAATGTAGAGGAACGCATACATTTTGTTTTCAATTCAAACGGCTTAATGATATGGTTGAACATTTCTTTAGATATTGTTGTTGTTGTTGTTTTTCTAACGTCAGGGTTATTCCCACTTTTAAGCGGCGGCAGTATTTTTGATCGGCGTGACGAAGGTTTCCACTGAAACAGCGTCACGGCAGGAGAAACGTGGCTGACACGCGAACACACACCCGTAGCATGTAGGGAGAGAGCATCTGAAATGGTACGCCTGGGGGGATGTTCCACGCCGCGGAAAAAGTTCCATGTTAAATCACTATGATCATTGTTCATGTATACAAACATTGTGTGTAAGGAAAATTCTTGGAAATAGCGGACATTATTGGTGAAATAAGCAAAGTTATGACCTAACTATTTAAGCTACATACCTTTTGGGTCCCTACTAGCACCGTTTCTAATGGACCGTTTTTTTATACACCCACTTATTTTACCAATTTACTGAATGATCGACAGGGGACCTGACTACTAGAGTCTGCAATTCTTAATAGAGAAAAAGTACCCCTCGCCTTGAAAATGAGCAAAATCGATGTCAGTATTCAATGGAATCACCCAGGGGGGAAATACGCAGGCGCTAGAGGCAATAGATCGCAAATTGCAAACCACAAAAACGGTGTGGCAAATGCGATTCTCTCGGCAGGTGGGAGTACTCGAATGTTGTTTAGACACAGGCAGGTCGTCGTTATTTGTTTTATTCGGGCACCAAAACCAAATATCGATCTGACGGAGATTTTTAATTCCATCTGCGCGTGTAGCTGCTTTACACATCCTGTTAAAAGAAGCTGAAGTGAGCATGCACATCTCGGCATAAAGGGCATCCGTGGCTCCACCACGCCCCTTGAGGCCCCTTAATTTGTACACCGGTATCAAATCACTTGGTGGAGTTCGTAAACGGCTGTCCTTCGAGTCCAATACTGCATTTTAGAAAGACACCACGCTGTGGAGCTGGAGACAATGGAAGAAGTGACTGTTATCCTAGTGTATTTGGGGGTGAGTTTGAATTGACCTTGGAGTCGGTTGTCTGAGGCAATAGAAAGATGATGATTTTTCGAGGGCATTTCCATTGACCTTACTTTAGTTCTTGCGTGATCTGCCCACTTATCGTTAGTGCAGTTTTTCTGTCAGCCAACGGCTGGTTCAGACGAACATAACTGTCGTTGCGCCAAACCAAATTATTCCGCAATTATAGATGAGAAGTTCGGCGTAGGAAACATTTTGGGGAGACTTAGGGAAGTGCAAGGAGATGAAAGATCGACTGTTGCTGACTGTTTCAAATTTTGTACCCGGACGCCTATCCACGCGTCCAATCTTTTCCTTGTCCTCTCGGGTTAAAAGTTGATGTTTTTCGTTTATTTTTGTGAGGAGCAGCAGGTTTGGGGTCCTTTTATCAGCCAGTTGCCGGGCCGGGGGGGGGGCAATTAGGTATCTTTGGTTCGAAGTTGTCATCAGGGCATTGTGTTAGAATTTTGCTTTGTCACCTTTTGTCGTTTTCCATCATTTCTCCAAAATGTGGAGAATTTTAAGACATATAGCACAAAACGCATGCGAAAAGTTTAGTATTTTAATATTGACATATAAAAGTGCCCTTTTTTGTTATTAAACTGCATCATACCCGTGAATTGTAATTACCATGGCCTTGTCGCTAAATGTGCGATCGAAATTTGCCTGAATAATTATAAGTAAGTTACCACACAAACCTTAGTATTTTCTCTGTAACCTTTTGGTATTAAGAATACAAGAATGTACCTGTAAAGGGTGCAAGAATTATCTTTTTGATACAAAAATGAAACAAAAATGAATTGGGGCTATAATGCAGCAAACCTTTCGCTTTCCTGGAAATCCTTTCGCAACCGTGGATTTTTATGCGTTTTCCTGCTCAAATTTCGCTTAACATTGATATGTTTTTATACAACGCATATTTACATACAAAGAATGTTATTACATTCTTAACCTCTGCAATTTTTCTCTCATTCAGATTATGGCGTTTGCCAACAAATTGGAGGCAGTGACGAGCGGTAAGTTCGTTGTTTGTCATACGTGTAAAATATTTACCTTGGAAAAACAATAAAATCTAAATTGCCAGATTTGTAAAAATTAGTGTAAATGGCGATATTCTCCCCTGATTTGACTATAAGTTTCAAACAAATAAAAGAGCAACATTTTACAACGTCGATTCCTCCTACGTGTGCAACTGGTAGATAGAGTCTATTTATGTTAGCTGCAGTTGTGTATACCCTCACGGCGTGATGACGAATTTTAAACTAAAGCCGTTAACCACTTCTTTTGAAGAAACTTCCCCATTAACCTTTTTACACTAGGGTTGTTATATCCTCCTTCCCAGCGCCATAAGAGGCCACTTGGGGAGGAACGCGTGATCCGGGTGTGAAAAGTACAAGTCTCTTGAACCAGGATTGAGTGAACTGGTCACTTCAAAACTGCGGCAAATATGTCTGCAGTCCTATGCGACATCGACTCGTTGCTCGTTAATCATACACTACCTGTCACTATAAAACTGTGTAGTAATAAGGTCAAACACTTGCGTAATGAACCTGACTGTATAAAGAAGACCAAATCAGAAGCAACGAAATTAAACATGCCATAGTCGTTCTGCAGCACTGTTCATTTTTACGCTGTTTCAATGTGAGACTGCACAGATTTTAAGTATATTCTTGCATTTCTAAAACGGGTTGTTGAGAGCGGGGACTTGGGTTGGCGCAGTGGCACTTCCCCCGTCGTCCACCTCCGTGACGCTGGTTCGAACCCCACTTAGCCCAACACGTGGAGTAGCTTTTCGGTCGTTATCTTGAGTCCGTATTAAGATTTCCCCCGGGCAATTCCATGAGGTTCCCCCTCCTCTACTCTGAAACTGAACCGTTCTCCTTTGTCTGTACTCCTCCAAAGCCTCTTAGTATCTGATCGGGCTAGACTGTTTAAACCGACTGTAATTCCCGAAACTTTCCGCAAACAGAATTTGTCACACGAATCACTTTGAGCATATGAAAATTAACGGTGGGGCGGGAGTAGTAAACATCAAAATTGCCTACTTCAGCCTGGTCGTGGAATAGTGGTTAAGATGTGATACTGTTTCCCAATCAAACAATTCTTATTAAAATAAACCATTATTGAATGGAACTAGGCCATGCTTAAAATAGACTCGTTACAATAAAAATGCGTGGTGGTCATAAAGCTGAACAGTTTGCAGGGAGGAGGAAGGGGTTCCTCATCCACAAATTTTAAGGTTAAAATAGGTCAAAACAATCATAGGCGGAGATATATCCAGCAACCATTATTATAATTTGGTTTTTTTTTGTCATTGCATTATTTTCTTTTAAAGAAAAGCCCCATTTCCTCACAATACATACGCTGATTGAATAAAAAATTCAGATGATAATCACCAGTGGCTGTGGACGTTTGACGTGTGTTTTGTTGGCTCGCCAAATCCTTTTAGCCAGCTCACTGATCAGCATTTTCAAGAATAAATGGTAACGAAGCAAGTTTCCCTGTTATTACATACCCTCGACCTGATGACGGCAGACGTTATTTGCACAATTTCCCATACTCTCAGTTGATAAATCATGTCTGGTTTCACAGTAATCTGCCTAACTGGTGTCTTTACAAATATGTGATTAATCTCTGCTCTCGGTTGCAGTCTGTCTGTCGTCGGTTAACAAAAGTGCGGAAATTAGTCGTCTAGCTCCTTTTTCCTGCCTGCACTCACTGATAAGTGGACTATTTGGTGTGTGTATTTGTGCTATTAAGAAATGGACGTATTTCATTTCAGATATGGTAACAATTTCATAAAATTGAGCTTGCCACTTTATACACACTTATGGGGAAAGTATGTACTGACGCCATGCATGGCTTGTCATTCTTACTTCGGCGAGACGCTATAGGACGAAACGAAAACAATAACACGCAACAAAATGGCATCCTTGTCTCTTTTGACACAGGCTGCCTGAATTTCCTGAAGCAGAATTTCCCTCAGAGCTTCATTTTAGCGAGAATATTATAACCTCCACTCACAACGAGTCATTAACAACCAACAATGAATAATTTATCAGTGCAGACGGCTCCAGTGCGGTCGTTTTGTTTGCCTCCAATGTTCAAATTGGCGGTTGTCACAGCGTCGTAAGAATGCGGTCGAAAAGGAAGCTTTGTATAGTTCAGTCGCTTATAGTTTTCATTGTCATTCCGTAGAATGACAAACTACAGAGAAAAACGGGGCAGTAGTAAACGTGGGTGGACCAAGCTGTTTTTTTAATCATATATCCTTCAATAACACCATCTCTCTCTGAAATGTCATATACATGCATGGGCGTAAATCCCTGGGGATGAACTATTGCGCCCCCTTACACACACACCTTTTTTGTGGTTAGAAAAAGTTAAGGCGGATCGTGAAGAATTTTTCGGAATTCCCAAAGGCCAAAATGTATTCAATAGTACTAAAAAAGGGAGAAAAGTTTTAAAAAGCCAGAAATACGTCGTTTTATCTTAAGGTTCTCCAGAAGTGTAAAACTGTTTTTAGATGTACACCTATATCATCAACGTCACTCCTCATTGCCAGATGGGGTAGGCGCACCCCCCACCATCACCGCTTCACAAATTTCCATGGCCGGGCAAGTCTCCCCTACAATCTCCTACCCCCAATCCCCAAGATCCCGATACAAAAATCTACACCACAGGTGAGCATGCCACTCCATGATTTGTTTATTCTCCAAGATGTGGTGAAATTCAAGATCCAGGTTCCCTCTGTTCATATTAGGGTGTAAGGCCGTTTGCTGGGAGTTGTAAAAATGACTGAAATGGATAGTCATTCTTTATGTATGCATAATGTATGACTCATTAAAGGTTTATCTCCAGAGGAATTGACTAAGAAAACTGTTTAATTGCCCTTTGTGATCAGCAATTTCCATGGCAGTGTGAAGCAATGTAGAGTAATATGTGTTGCCAATGCAATGTAGTTTTAGAACAGTACGCTCACGCGAAAAAAAAAAACATATATTCCTCTGAAGTACACTTCAGGCAAAAGCGAAGTGAATTTGACGTCACGAAAATTTTGCTGCGAAATTTCGCTCAAGTTGGGATGTGCTCAACTTTTGCGAATTCGTAACACAAATATTGATCTGCCCTCATGAATTCCCGTTCGTTTTCGCTTTTGTGCGAAGTATGAACCGGCTTTTTTTAGAGAAATTATTCATCTGTGATCATTTCCCAGAAAGAAAAAAGGAAGTTCGTCGCACTTTGATGTGGGAATTTTGATGGAGTATCTCTTAGGCTGTTATTCTTATTACAACCAATTACCACAGTTGCCAAATTATATTCAGTGCTCAGCATAATGATTTATTTTGTAGTTACTAATGACAATAACAGTAATTAGCATTTTGTGTCATTAGAAGCCAAGGTTTTTTTACTTAAACTAATTAATTGTATTTGCATGTGAGGGCTGTTGGCAGCAAGTATAGCCCAGACAAGGGCTAGTAATTGTATTCCAAATTTTATGCTATGAACATCTCCAAATTAAAAAAAGATGAGAATTATTTCATCTGAATGACGTAACGCAGTGAGCATTCACTTGGACATGAAAATGCCACGCTAGTTGTCAATCGCGTTATCCATGTTAGAACATCTTCTCATAGTATGTTGTTGTGTGTGTTGGAGTGGGTAGGTCTTCCCTGGACAAAAAGGACAATTTCTTTATTTAAGAAATTTTGGACCTAGTCGTGAGGCACAATTTTGTCCCCATAGCGTTTTTGGTCCCCACAAAATAGGAGTAGCCCTAACTTAAAGTGTTGCCGCAATGAATTTTTCTGAGACACAACTTGTCTTCAACTTTGTACTGTTTATCAATGCATGAATACTTTTTTACACTCCTTTTGATTATATACACTGAAAGGTGCACATTATAAACATTCAAAATTATCTATGACAACTGAAGGCGTGGTTGCTGTAGGAAGACACAGTTCATTGCACAGGTATTTCTATTTGAACTGTTAACCTAGAATTTACTTTCTTAAAACATTTCTGAGAAAAGCATTGGTGCTCACGTATTGCTATGCTGTGCACATGAACAAAATGAATCAGCAAAGAAGAGAAGATTTAGTCCTGCAAAATCTACAAAAATGCATGACTTTTTGGATACAAACCAATGTAACATAGGCTTTCTCCATGTGATGAAATCACAGTTTTCCTCATGAATATGGAAATACTCATGAGTATGACAACCAAAAAGCTGGCAAAATACCCTTCGGAATTGTGAAACAAAAGTAGAAAATTAGTTCAACTGAGACACAGAGGTGCATTTTGGAGATCTGTATTAAAACAAATCGATTGCAGCTGCCCTTTAAAGAGCAGTGTTTTATGTCCCCCATGTAAGATAAAAGTTTGTGTTGGGGGAGTATATGTTTCAAGGAAATAAATACTGTAACAACTTGCCTATGTGACAACTAGCAACCTTCAGTGAAACCATACCTAAACTTAACCGCCTTCAAACATTAAAATATTTGTCATATGGTCATAACAAGTCATTATCGACAGAGGTGCCAAATCATTAAAGCCCCTAGACTCCACAATTACCCTTATCCTTTTTAGACATTCTTCTCAAATTAATCGTGAATCATTTTCAAGAACAGGGTGGTGATTATTTTTCAGATTTGGACCTGATTCTCGAGAGTGGACATCTTATAATTGATACTGATGACGCAACAATGATGTACTTCAACGAAGTCGATGAAGGAACCGCCACGAGTACCATTCTGTACAATGAAACGGTGGTTTCGTACCTCGCCATGACCGATAACTCGACAACACCACAGGCCGACACTTCCACTTCAACTTTCTCCCACTGGAATGTCAGTTTGACCAAGGTGAAGACAGATGCGGACGAAACCACCCCGAAAGTGAATGAAGAGTTAACATCTGCTGACGGTTTGTCGACATTAAGCGAAAACATTACTTCGGTCAAGGCAACTCCCAGTAGTACGTCAAGCAACCAGTCTATCGAAACATCGACTCCTGATGTGGAAACTCCTGGGAGTACTTCAGGCAACACAAACCAATCCGCCGAAACTTCAACTTCTGATCATAAGCCGATCTTTGGTAATAGTACTGATGTACCCATCAACTCATCAGAAGTTTACACAAGCCTTTCGCGACTCAGCAACGCAAGCTCGACACCGTTACTGTCGGATACTTACAAGTTGTTATTCCAAGGGACTTTGAAGAATGTAACTTACAAAGATACTGGAAGCGGCGAGGAATGGAATTACTCTATCGCGATTTTCTCTACGCAAGGGTCCATTGAACTCAAAGGAAACTTGACAATTTCGGTGATTGGAGGAAATGCTCTCCGTTTTCAGAGCAAAGAGGGAAATATCCTGATAGGATCCGACATCAACTTAAACGGACGCGAAGGAATTAGCATGCTTGTCGGAGGCTTTCAAGGTAATGACTGGTTTCATTATTGGCTGTTTGAGCTGCTTGTGAGCTTAGTTAATGCTCACTTTTATTGTTTCACTTTCGTTGGCTTCGACTGTTGGCCTTTACGGTCGGTATAATGCTTCTCTTGGTTAGTACCAAGTTTAGTTGTAATATTTTAGTACTTGTTAAACATTCATTCCGATAATCAGTGTCTGTCTGGAAATTCTATGCCTAATCGAACCAAATCCAACCCCACCCAACCCCCGTACCCCAACCCAACTCAACCCAGCCAAACCCAGCCTAGCCCACCCCAACTCAATCCAACCGAATTCAGCCCAGCCCAACCTAACCCAACCCAACCAAAACTAACCCACACCAAACCAACCCAGCCCAGCCCACGCGCTAATCAGTCCGACCTCCAGTCGATCCCTTTCTATGGTCCAAGTGTTCCGACATTATTTTCAGGCCACTCTTGCTCTCTGAACGTTAAATGACAGCTTGGGTATTTCACACAATGCTGCGTTCATGCAAGGTACCGAAATTACATGTAGCTAGCTTGAGGCTCTCCGTCATTTATGTTCTTAAGGTCTCCCGAGTCCTGGAGGGGGTGCGGATGACAGCTCAGTGCCGGGTGGGGCCGGGCATGGAGGGCACGGTGGGGGCAGCTTTCGGGAGAGCCAAACCCAGCCATGCAGTTGGGGTCGAGTTGACCAATCACCGTCAGATGCGACGTCGATTCAATCCTCCACTTCTTTAGAGACTGAGGGGACGACTCACAAGCAAACAGCGAACACGCCCTTGGAGGCAAACTACACGACAGCTTGGAATGACACCCTCGCAACAGCCAATGGCGATAACATGACTGGGACTACGAGGACGGAAATGACGGGGTCGCTAATAAGTCAAACCGACACGTCCAGTCCGTCCGGGGTAACCGTAAGCCACCTTTTGAATGATTCAACACTAGACTGGAAAACTGTCAGCAAAACTCTGCATCTGAACACCACGGAACTTTTTCCGGGCATAACCGATGTTTCCATCACGACTAACCTCACAGAGAAGCTGAACAGCACCCTTCCAAATGATGACAGCGACACGACCTTAGAATCAACCGTCATGTTGACAGATCCGATTAACTCTACCTCAACAGATCTTGCCGCAACAACTACAGATACACCAACAGGGGGCGATGAAATCTTGTACCGCTGTACGTACGGGTTCCCATATCTGCTAGAAAGCTATCGTCATTTATTGGGTGGGAGTCCAGGTACGTTGTCCATTTTACCGTACCCTGCAAAATAACATAGCTTTCTAGAATGATATACCTTACTGATTGCCGAAAAAATCGATTGCATATCGGCAACCAGTGTACCTTTATATCCCTAATCAACCTTTATATAAATCCACGCTAGTATCTACAATTAAGCAAGAGTGAACGGCGTTGCTGACGACATTTAAAACATCTGCACGTTTATATTGGTTTATGATATTTTCTTTACAGGAGGTATCGCAAGCCAAGGTGTAGCGCGAATGGGTGGTGGGGGAGCTATTGAATTCCGGGCACGGAAAGGAAGTGTAACCATCGGTGAGCAAGCACAGGGTGTTTGATGTTACAGACATTTTAAAGAGAATTAAACTGGACTCTATCACATTTATTTTGTCTGCATATGTTACATGGAATGATTCTCTTTTACCAGATGCGCTTGTGACCGCAAGGGGGCAGTCTGTGTCAAAACCAGAACCTGGAGATGCGCCATGCAGGGGAGGAGGCAGCGGTGGTCTCATCCGCGTGCGAGCAAAGGCAGTAAGTAAACCTATGAGGATTAAAAACATGGTACTTGCTTTTAGGTAATTCACTGACGTTTTTAATTAGTAACTGGCTGTGTTGAGCAGTCAGCATCCTTCACATATTTGCAGATACCTCCTCCATGAACATCTTCAGAGCATGCACATTTGATGTGACCTTGCAAGCCGACATATCGGATCACAGAAAGATTGCAAACGTTGCCCACTGGCGCTGGGGAGAGTCTGAGACTGTGCATTGGTCGATAACTGTTAGCCGACTTTTTTGCGTTCCTCGAAGAAGCCTACTGATTGGATAAAACTGCATGTCTACTTGCGGACTCTACATGAAATAGAGTCTTCCCGAACGTTTATTCCACCTCAGCTCTTGCCTCTAGAGCATGCAGGGGTTTAGATAGTCATGATTCTGTTGACATGTCAGAGCAGTTTCCCTCTTGCCTTCGATGCAGTACGTTACTTCGGTGTAACGTTTAGTCTCTTGTTCTGTAAATTTCGTTAATGAAATCGGTTACAAGTGCAATCATTATCTGTCAGGATTTATCTCACAGCTTTATTATTTCCATCTGTATATGTATGTAAAGAAACGAAAAATTGTTTCCAATAAATTTGAAGAACTGTGTTCGTTTTTGTAGAATTGTAAAGAGAAGATCTTACGTGTTTTTGAAAAAGTTGTTTAGTTTAAGCAATGGAAGTCATTTCAATTAGCGAGAAGCTTCGCTGTGGATTGGCAGGTGCTCGTCACGCCACGTGGTTCCCTGGTGGTCTCTGGTGGTGACGGCAGCACCGTGGGATGCGGAGGCGACGCGGCCGGTGGTGGTGCCGGTGGCGTCATCCAGATTAAGGTCAGCGAAATGATAGAGAGTCACCAAAGCTTCTTGCTGAGCGGAGGATTTGGATCTTCTTGCTCGGGCCAGGATGGGTTTTTGTCCGTTGTCATTGGTGAGTGGTGTCGTTGATGTTCTAAAGCCAGTGGCTTGGCATATAGACGTTGATTTCACGCATGGGCCCGACCCAGAGTGTTTCAAAGTGGAGGCAAAGCTCAGGGGATGGCAAGCAGTACACAGAGCAGACTGACATACCATCAACGGGTGGGATGGGTTCAATTCCTGTTGTCTCTTTCCTTTTTTATGTCAATGGAACTTGTGATTCACTTTTCATGGAGAGGTATAACATCTGAAACTGAACCCCGATGAACACGTTTGTGTTTGGTGCTTTATTACAGAGGGAGGTAGTGGTGGCGGTGATGGGGGGTGTCAGTGCAATACTGGCCCACCACCATTTCCCCCCTTCAATCCCAGTCCAAGTAGCATGTCTACACCAGCTGCTGAAATCACCCATGCTGCATTACTCACGAACAGCCCGACCGACATGACAACATTTCTTCCGAAGGACATGACACCAGACGAGGCAGCAGATTATCTAAAGGTAGACAGATTTTCGTTCTTTCTATAAATTGAGAAAGATTACAAACAGCAAGAAATGTCTCATTGATGGGCCCCACAGTTATTTCTAGTAGCCATGATGATGTCAATGATGTCATTTAGCCCTTTGGGCTTCATGAAAGTGTTCCAATTTCTCGTTGCAGGATATTTTCACTGCGGATGCCAACTTAACCAATGCAACTACGTCGGTAAGTAAATCAAAATGTCCAAAAAGGAGCAAAAGAGAACGAGGAACAAAATTAAGAAATATCTCATGTTGAAATAAAAAAGACAGTTATATAAATACTCAAAAAGTTTAGTATAATGAATTCTATATGCCAGTTCCTCAAGGCTGGTATTTTTCGTTGTTTAGTTCACTGATTTAGTTGTAGGGGACAAATGTGACATCTTTCTAAAATCATTAATAATCTGCCCAAATTCTGCCTTATATTGGTCAGCTTGTTTGCCCGTGTCACGACGCCTTCATGGTTGACAATACAGGTTGAAGATTTTGAATTTACAATCTGTGGATAATGAACAGGGATCATTTCATATTCAAGACAGAAGAAATCAATCAAAAGATCGCGGGCTTTTCATTTATCCATATTGATTTACAAATCAACAACTTCAAGGTTAATGACGTTACAGGTGTTGGATGCCAGGAGAGGTCGGACACCATTGCTAATCTAATTCATAAGTCTACGAGGATAACATTGCTGGATTTTTGTTAGCTGTTGTGCCCTAAACCTTAAGCTTCACTTTTCTGTTTGCTTTTGAGACCGAGGCAGCCCAAATTATGGGCAATATTGAACAAATTGGATTAAAGTTTGGAAGAATACTCGCAAAGAGACGGGAGCCGGGAGAAACGATCAACATCACCGTCATCTCGGAGGAACTAGGTAAGGACAACCGCTGGAGGATGTACCTTACTTTGATAAATACTTGGATGATAGATTCTTAGTTTAAGGTAATCGATAGAATCATAATACAGGCGGCAAAGTTTGTTGGCGCACTCAACTTACGAAGATTCCAAGACCCACTCATCTGACAAGACAAGTGTGATAATACCGCAAACAACTTTAATTGCATTCAAAATAAAATTGCAAACTACAAAACTGCAAAAAAGGGCCTACCTTGGGGTACAGTTAACACAAAAATCTCTGTGTTGGAGACGTCAGGCTGTGAGTTTCTCTCGCCAATGTTTCCCTCCTTCCATAACACTGACCACAGCAATGCAGCTTGATATCCTGGAGGCCAGCTCCTTTTCCGGACATATCATTCCTGGGCCGGATCTGAAATCTTCAAATGCAACGTCTCGGCCAGGGGCTATCACGATACATCAGTCGGTCTTACCTACCAAGGCAACAGGTAACTCATGAGTTGGTCAACATAGGCCTACAATGAAACTGTAACAAAACTAGGAGCCATTTAGCATCATGCATGTTGACAGGTGACTTGCGCGCGTTACATGCCACTTCGACCAATAGGGTGCGGCGTCTTGTCAACGGCACGCGCGCCTCAATTTCAAGAATGCGCACTTGAGTACAGTGCCATTTACGGCGTCCTCTCAGATAATCTATCAACTCGTGGAGATCATAGGACTACCTTGTATTTTACGTATTACTAGGTTTATTGTATTATTTAAAGACAAAAGATTTTGTCAAATGTAATAGTGTGTATATCTTTGTTGTGTTAAATTGTCTCAATCAGTGCGAAAGTACTTTGCAATAATACTTTCATTATTATATAAATCGCTTGAGGTCATTACGGTGACGATTTTTGCAAAGTTTCTTGATTGTCATAAACGAATTGAGGACTCGTAAAGGGTTTGCCTCTTATCGTTCTTCTCTAAAAATTTGAAGGGAGAGACATTTTTTGAAATTTATTCCCAGTCATATTATTCCAAAAATGAATGAGACGAAAGAATCAGACTGCACAGACGCGAAAAAATACATGAGGATATATGATTATTATTTTAAAAAGATTGACCTACAGATAGGCACCTAATACAGATACGAGGACAGTGACTAATATTTACCTAAACACGTCTCCAATTTATAACAAAAAGGATGTCGTTGATGTGATCTTGACAGGAAGTGTCATCATTGTTGGGACATTCTACGTGAGAATGGAGCAGTTCTTGTCCGGTGCACTTGCTACGCCCTCGGGGTAAGTTGAAAGCATGTTCGTTCGGTGGTGGTTGTCGAAGAAAGCCTGTCCAATGTGCAGATCGTCATGAATGCGATTCGGAATGCTTTTTAATAAGACAATACTTTGTAAGAAGACAACTGAAAATTCAATCCAGTGGAATGTAGAGAAGCCATTAATTTATGAATATTTAAGAAGGCTGTTTCGGGGTATAACCTGACATTCCAAGAGAACCCAAAGTTTCCATCCTAGAGTAAGCTACTTTCGCTAATTTCCTGGTAAATTCATTGTACGAGCAGGTTAGAGGCAGGGTATGATATAAATAGTGTCGTGCTGAGTGCTACTCTGGAATTGACGGACAACTCACCAAACTTCATTGGAGGAGTTAGTATAGCAGCTGCCAACCATGAGGCAAGTTCTTTCCTCGAGATTGTTTTCCAAATTCTAGATCTCCTAAACTGAGTGAAAATATTGTTTTGCGTCACTTCAATTAGGCGGGTTGCTCACTGCATTAAACGTATTTTCAGACACCTGCGTACTTCTCTCATCGCCTATTGTTATGTAAAATGAGTCTCTCTTTGGAAATAGACCTCTTTATACATGCCGGTGTATTCCATGTCCCTGGCAAGTGTGATAAGTTCTCAGCCAATTTGATTTTATCCACTTCATGCAAATTGTGCGTGGAATGTGTGGTGTGTACTTAACGAAAATGTATTTGCAAATATGGAAATACCGATAACCTTTTCTTCGAGTTCTGAGCATTTAGAGACTCAACGTCCCACCCTGTGAAAAACGCCGCGCTACTATTCGCAAAAAGGGGTCCATATGGGCCCTAAGCCCTCCCAATTTTGACTCCAAACTGCACGACTGTAAGGTGGAAAGTAATTGAGGAAAATTGACTAAAAAGTTTGCTCATATTTTCAATATATCGAAATCCTATTAAACTTTACTGACTTGTTGCAGTTCATCACCTCAATCACTTCAGAGTCGGAACTTGATTCGTGATAACGAAATTGTCTGTTCTTAAAATTGCTATTTCTGCGCTTCCACAGAAATCGACTGGACGAAATACACTCTGTGCCTTTTGGAATTTTTCCCAGCAGTAAGTTGTTCCAAACTGTTTTTCTGATGCAAGCTTTATGAAGTTAAACCATGTTTTACCATTTAGTTCCGCGTCCAAATAACACGTGACTTTAATTTGTTACGATGTAGTATTGAAATGGGAACGAAAACCCAATCGGGTTGTTCCTGCGATATGAAGTTGGTCTTGACTGGTTTTCTAAAAATGGATACCACAGCCGTAAAACAAAATATAATAAATCTATGATGACAATTGCTCTACAGTAATGACTTTGGCGGTGCTTGGTCAACATCCGGGTGTTCTGTCAATGTGTCCAATGGCACATACACTGTGTGTACTTGCGACCACCTGACCAATTTCGCCGTGCTTCTCAAGCCGACAGATTTTATCGTAAGTTCGCTTCTCAGAACACTCTTGTAAATTTGGGCGCCACCTAGGAAGAAAAAATTATCTTGCTGGGTTGTTTTGCCATTTCCACAAATATTTGGGTAACATACGTACCCGGATGTATGTCCGAAAACACCAGGATCACCGCTTACCACACGTTGATAAAATGATACTACCACAAACATTCTGCCCATTGTGTTCATCTGTGTTGTGTACACTCAACAAAATACGCAAATTTTGCTGACACAAGTTGAAATCTAACCTAGCTACAGTCGTGTACATTGACGTGAATTTGTACCGGTTCGTTGAAATACGTGTATCCTTATCTTTCCATTGACTTTCAGTTACCGCCTGGACATGAGAGGGCGCTCGAAATTCTCACCTATGTTGGTCTTGGACTGTCTCTTGCCTGCCTTGTGGTGGCGCTTGTCACTTTAGCAGCCCTCCTCAGGTTTGAAATGTTTTTTATTGTGTGTGATATTCATCGGATTAGAGTCATTTTATCCATAGCTTTTATTTGAAAACTCTACTCCAACAAACATAGATCAGCCAGCCAATATGCCCAACACTCTTGTCAACAACTATTGTGTCATTATCTAACGACGCCAGGCCCTTGGATCAAGGGTTGATTTTCCGGTTTCCATGGTTTAAACTTGATCATTTCAGAAACTTAAAATTGCGAATTAAAGATGATATTGTGCGAACAAGAACCTTATTCAACTTTTTTTCAAGGTTTATGAAAACCTCCTTCTCTGCACCACATGCACGGCGGCCATCTTGGCGGTATATGTTTTTGTTCCGCAGAGATGCGAATCAGTAGACCCTTTGAGCACTCATTATTACCGACGTGAAGGAATCCCAAAAACCATCCAAGATGACCACTACATGCAACACCTCTTCAGCACCCTTTTCAAGTCTCTAGATTTTCCCACATTTTATTTAGAAGTCTGAAGAACACCGATTCAGCGGTCATTCATCTCAACCTCGTCATCGCGCTGACTGTAGCCGATTTCTTTTTCCTTGTTGGGGCGAGTGACACTGGTAATAAGGTAGGGGCCTGCATTGAAGTATACCAACGATGACTGGCTGAGTCGATTTTTTGGAAAGACAAGGACATTGTTATTATCGAGAAAGAACCTCCGTCAAAATCACAGTGGCTCCATTCTCTTAAATATGTATAAAGGCCTATTTTTTCAGTACTATTTCAACACTTATGTATTATTTGTATCTTGCCTTCCTAGTCCTGGGCAAAAATGCTACCATAATAAAGGCCGTCTCACAAAGGACAACAATTATTAGTGCGCCTTTGCCTAGTGTAACTTCTGTCAATCATAATACATTGCACACATTTAGCTGTTACCCAATTGATTCTACCCAATTGTTTCTTGTCTTCTTTTACCGGTATACAAGTTTACCAGGTTAATCTCATTGCACAAATTGAACATCTGAGTCTTTTGAAAAATGAACCAATTACTTCTTTCGTTTTAAATTAAGGTTTGGTGTAAGACGGTGGCTGGCATACTCCATTACACGTACACCGTGACATTCATGTGGATGCTGATGGAGGGCATTTACCTCTACATCCGGGTCGTGCATATCCTTCATCAGCCCTCCAGAACTACTCTGAAATACTTTTTCCTTGCTGCTTGGGGTATGTGTAAGAATTATAAAAACAAACTGTCTCTTGTAGCTTTCTGTGCCGTCTCGACTGGTACCTTACCGGGGCTATCTACTTGATCTTTAAATATAAGTCTCAGTTTCTCGTTAACTAATTGTGGCTATTTTATGAAGTTGTCCCAGCATGTCTGTTGTGGTGTTTTCGTCAACCTCAAGTGCAAAACTGTTATTCATGTATACAGGCAGATCCACATCTGTTAGGCCTTATGGGGTCTCTGCTTCAGTGAAGTGAGGTTGAAAACCAAATATCAGGACTTTGAATTCGATTTTTTTTTTTTGCAAAGGGTTACCGATAGTGATCGTTTCGGCAACGGTCCTAGCAAGACCAGAGAGCTACGGATCCGACCAGGCCTGCTGGCTTGATACTGCGAATGGCGCCATTTGGGCCTTTGCAGGACCAGTGCTTGTTATCATCGGGGTAAAGTCTAAAAAAGCCTCTCATTTCCTGTGCATTAAAGAGAAATTTGTGTATTTAGCTATAGACTAATAATGTGATAAATGGGGGAGGTCTAGGCGGGGGTACTGCATATTAATTCCTTTCAAAATAACTACAACTTTTCACTCGCCCCCACTGCCCTTGCCTTACAAGGCACTTGAATGAGCTTATTGCTTCAGGAGACAATAGTAATACGTAGTACCTCGAACCCTCACAGACAGCTAACATTTGTTAACACTCATATGAACATGACTCGTGCACGCTAAATTCACACGCATTAAAGTAATATAGGCAGGAAGCAATTAACAAGGCTTTGCCGCGCTTGTACCCCCCCCCCACAAGTTTTTGAGAGAGACATTAGCCTGCCCTAACTTCTTGTAATGGCGCAACGATATACCCCTTTGGATGATGCATGCCACTCAGTATGTAGTTCTTGCAGTTCGTGACTCACCCATGCTGTTTGGCTCGTCCCTGCTCATTTAAGATATTCCCTAATCTTTAGTGTTGTTTTTTCTCGTCACTTAGGTAAATATTGTCTTCTTGGCTGTGGTGATGGTTCGGTTTGTTTCAGTCAAGAGTATTGCCAAGCAATCAAAGTGGAAACAAACCAGGTACGGTTCCCATGCAGGTAGAGTCTACGGTGTGGCTTGTACTCACCAGCCTCAACCCCAGTTGCAGCGTGCGCGTTCCTTCATTATGAGCGTTCAAGGCATGGTGGGAACCAATATGGGATAGCAAGGTTGTACCCATGGGCATTAGGTTATTGCCTATCAATCATGCGCACTGGTTAGCGCATGCGTATGTGGCACAGATTGAAGTAATTTTTAGATGAATGTAGGGAATAATTAATTTCATAAATATCTCAGACAGTTAACCACTTCTATCGGTCAAGACCCAGTCACGTGTGCGGTTTCAACCACCTGCGAAGAAAAAACTACCTACTGGCTTTAAACGCCGGTTTCCTGTGAAACAGTGACTCACATTACTCCTATCTGATTGGCTCTGACCCACAAGACTTTACATGTACGTGTAACAGATAATCTTATGACTATCCTGACAACCACATACTTATCCAAGGGCGGATACAGGATCAAATTTTCGGGGGCCAAACTTGTAGGTGCGGGGGGGGGGCAAAATTGTGTAAATTTTTCTAACCTTTTATGGCCTTGCTGGAGGTGTGATTAGATATTGTGTCGCTTTAACACACTTTGGGAAGGAAAAGAAATGAAGTAGAGCAGAAATTGCCTTTCTCTCATTTTTTACAAATCTTGATTTCATTTTTGGCTCTTTTTTTCGGGGGGTGGCCCCCGCAGACTCCCCTGGTTAACCCTGGCAGGGCCCTGCCTTGTTTGTTTGCTTGTTTTGAAAGCGCTCGTTTAAAACCGCCATATCACACTATTTATCCTGTCAATATAATGATGCATGATGGAATAATGCAAGGCGGAAGATTTATTAAAATGTCTTCCATCAACGTTGTCTATTACCAATAAGGGCTTGGTCTCTCCACATCTAATTTCCTCATATGTAGCTGGATAGGTTACCATTGTTAAAATCATGGGAGAGAGTGTATAGCTGCACTACGGTCCATACACTGCAAAAACTGGCGTGTTAAATTAATACCCTGGTTCTATCAGAGGACGACACCAATACTTTTCACTGATGTTATAAAGTTCGGTGTTATTTGGTGTTACTTTTAACACCCTCCAGAGCATTTTAACACTTATAGGTGGGCAAAGTAGCACTAGCGGTGTTAAAGTAATACCCTATGGTGTGGTCATCTGATAACACCAAAAAGTGTACATTATTTTACTGCGTGATCGGGAACAATTCTCGATGTTACCATGGACACATCCCGTGCTGCTACGTTGTTTAAACGAATACTGAGAATGATAATAATCGATATCAGTGTTATGTTTCCATTCAGCACATTATAATTATTCTCGTAACTTTCCTCTGCAGAAAGACTACTAGAGCTGCTGTGATTCTCCTGCCGTTGCTTGGCATCTCTTGGCTGTTTGGCTTGTTGTCTGTTGACAAAAACACCCTGATCTTCATGTATCTTTTCGTCATATTCAACTCTCTCCAGGTTGGTCTAGTTACGTCATAAGCATACTGTAGAAATCAGGGTCCACTCGTTCATTGGCGGGTTCGATTGTCCAACAATTCATCAATTCAGAGGTTTGATAAGTCTGAAAACACAAATTTCTCGTACAAGGAGATTCATCAGCCCCAAATGACATAAGGATTGTTAAGCTAGGCCTAATATTGAGTGCAATTTTCTGTTCATGCACTGAACCATCAGTAAAACCGTCAGTAAATGTTCGTGTTTTGTGGAAGGTCCAATGTCCTGAACGAGATAAGTTAACAATCAAATCTTATCCCCTTGACGCCAACCGAAGGCTTAAAGGATGCAACGATGATAAATAAAATGTCACGAGTGGGGAATTTTCAGAGATACGATTTGAAGGATGTAATTCTCATGTTAGAACTAGTCACGTAAACGCTTAACTATGTTTTGTGATCAGAAAAATCCGGAATGCATGAACACGAAGGAATAGCTCACGTGCACAAACGCCATGTTGGGGAATACTAAAAATAAAGATATGAATATCTTTATTTTGACGAAAAACGATTATTTTGTGCCTCTCAGGATAATATAATACATATAAATCAAGACACCGAACTTGGCAATTAAAGCCTTTTGCGATTTAAATTTGAATCAAATCTGGTACACTGAGTTCTTTAAATTTAAGCGAACATAACAACTGACTTCTCAATAGCAAAGACACTTTTGCTATGACCTTGTAAGTGGTTTTGCTTAGTTACAACTTACATAAGAGAGGCCTTGCACCAATACACTGTTTTCAATGGTTAAAAAGGACACAAGGGAACCAGTCCATTCCAGAGATGGTGGTCGCTATGCAAAAGCTTGCCCAGAATCACGAGGTACAGTAACGCCATATGATGCAAGATATAGGGCGGAGAGACCCCCCCGTCTTTGTGTTGGTCATTGTTTGATCGGTATCTCAGGAATTCTTTACGGACTTGTAGTGGGGATGTGTTAGGTAACAATAGTCTACATGAGTGTGGGGGGGTACCCATCGGCCCCATATCGTGCACGGTATCACCAACACTGTCTTTAGTTTGGGGAATTCAAATTGTTATATTTATATACGATCAGATAACTCAGTGTACTAGATTTTATTCAAATTAAACTCGCAAAAGGCTTATTGGTTTGCTTGTGAAGTTAACGTTGCGATTCAAAACGGATACTAATTCAGCAGGAAATTTCAGTTCGGATTGGATATTCCTTTGTTGCCCAATGTGCAAATTCGCTTCATTCATCAAAACTGCTGTTGTCTTAGTAAAGATGTCACATGGAATAAATGCCACTTTAAAAGTAGTTTCACCGCATTCCGACGTAATAGTTTGCCCAGAAAATCCATCCATTCCGATAACACATAACTAGTTTAAAATTTCTTTTTTTCATTACCTTTATAGTTCCTCTAGATGCTCGACGCTTTCCAACCTTTCATTCGAATGGACCTGGAATCATAATGACTCTAACTTTTATAGCAGTAAACTTATATTTTCCAATATTGCTAGGGGGTTTTCATATTTGTATTCCACTGTCTGACGAATGATGACGTCATTTCAACTATTCGCATCAAGCTCAGGAAGTCTCGCAGCCGTTTTGACTTTCATCACTCCTGGCCGGTAAGGAGTACTTAAAGACTACATAATACGTCCTTCATGACTTGTGTTAGACATGTAAAGACTTGTTGCCGGTTGTGTATTCAAATTTATGGAAGTGACTGGCTTCTACTGACGGCACAGCGGCTTTATTTTCCCACTCAGAATGGAATTAAAACTGCATTCACACGAAGTCCAGTGAAGAAAAAGAAGAAAAATTCAGGTAAGACAGTGAGCCTAGCGCAACTCAAGATCTACTGAAAACTGAATACTGAAAACATTCACTGCGTGGGCTAATCCAGTCACCGTGGGAAGAACTGCGCTTGTCAGTACAATACAAGATGTTCCTTTTTTCGTGAGATTCTGTCAAGACAATCGTAGACTCATAATACCAAAAGGATAAGATTTTCACATTGAAAATGATCAATATGTTGGGTTCTAGTCATTGTGACAAAAACTAGTTCATGTCTTGTCACAGTGACAAGATATTGCCAACTATACGACCCCTAATACCTCAGTGGTTGAGTAGTAAGACAGTGCGGCTAGTAAGTAGGATGGCGTTGGTTAGAATCCCATTGGAGCTAACGTTGAAGCTCGTGGAAAGCAGTGAAAACTTGTCTCTTTGACAAGTGAATTCTTGTCGTAGCTGACACACAAGGTTTACTTTGTCAACATTATACAAGCTTTTGCTGTAAGTGAATTAACGCGTCAAGACCTTCACGTACAACAACCGCACTGTACAAGCCAACTCAGAAGAAAAATTGAAATAATAGCAGACCTGCCAACCTGTCGTACCCCTTCCTGAGGTCAGGCGCAATACCCCACAATAGACTAAAAGGTATTTAACTTAATATGAGCCCTCAATTCATTTAAAATTCCAATATATTATGTGAGGATGTCTGACCCCAGGAATGAGTACGACAGGTTGGCAGGTATATAAAAGTTGTTGCAGTAACCAGAGATGTAGGATGGAATGGCCAAGACCATTCCTTTTCTCTACCAGGGCCTCTCATTCACATTTACGGTTCAGTGTGCCATTGCAAGTTTAAAAAATCTTTGCACCAAAAATAGCCTTTTTTTCTTTTCACTTGCGAAAACTGACTCTCTGTCATAATTCTTTGATTTAATTTTGAACCAACAGTTCACCCGTCTACACAAACAAGCATAACTCTCTTGGATCGGTCATCATTCCCAAGCAATGTGGGCCATTGGACTGATGTAAAACAGCGTGCCTTCTAACGGAAAACTATCGCATCTACTTTGTCTTTATGATATATTAAATATATCGTTAAACTCGTGCAAGAATAATTTGTCGCTTGAATGTTTGCTTTGTATGAGATAGAAAGCATTACCGACTGGTAGGGCCTATTATTTTAGATTCGTGCAAGTAGCAGATTATTTTTTAAAGAATGAGAACATTTTTCTCGGAATCTTCTAATGTTCTATACATCATTATTTCGCTTTTACACTCTATTTAAAAATTCAACATTAGCATTGTTTTCTTAGCACAAAAAATCATGAAAAAATTTCCTTCAGGAGAGTCTGTGTACTTTTCTTTTGATGTTATATCTTTTACTTGATTAGTAATAATCAGCGGATAATGAGAAACGTTGGAATGTTTTATATGCAGTGGTTTAGACACATGAAGAATGTGTACATGAACGCCGGAATGGTAATTACGCAATCCATTTCATAGAAATGAATAAGTTTCCTGATCGAGTGATAGCTCCATCAAAAGATGTACCATTTTAAAAGTAATATAGTGTGTATGTTTCAAAAGTTGGTTATGTGTTTCATGATAAATTGTTTACAGTTGCCAGCAGAGAAGCATCGTTCATTGTATGGGTTTCAGTTAGTGAAACCAGAATCATACATTATCAACTGCGTGGGTTCGTGAAGCTTTACTCAAAGCGTGTAGGCCTACTGTCTGTTTTAAGCTGAAAACACTGACTGAGGAAGAATAGACGAAGTTCAGGGTGTAATTGTTGTGATAACGAAACGTTTGGAAATCGAAAAAGCTACAAAAGACCTGACAATTTTAGAGAGATTCTGGTAGGATCGAAACGTTAGGCCCTTTAATGTTTTTCAACTCATTGTTTTAGCACCCTATAGCCAGCAAGTAGTATGCAGTAGTTTCATAAGACAGCCTGAACCTGCGGCAAAGTGCAAATGTTTGCGCAAAAAACGCCTTTAATTAATGAGGTGATACCAAAGGTTTACAGAACTTGTAAATTAGTCCTAGTGTGTAGAATCCGTCCCACCATTCCCCTCCAATGCACATATATAATCTGTGTGTTTTAGCAAATGTTATTCTTCTGATTCTGATGTTGTCGGTGGTTTAATGCACTTTAAGTGGAACAAGACTTTTATCTGCATAAAATAATTAGAATTTATAGCGTCTAACTTTACTGTTTATTTATATATTTAATTTAGTGTTACTTCATTACTTACTTCAATTCACTTAAGTGCCTATGCACAATGTTTTCCCGCCTATTCAAACGTGGGATGACGCGTCCATCAATTGTAGTCATAAACCCAAGATTGATTTAGCGGAACTTGATCGGAACAGTACGCGAATTTGTATCCCGGTAGAAGTCTTTCCCGCCCTAGGCACGGTTGGCAAAGCTCGCGCTCCTTGCGTGTACTTTGGCTTGAACTTTGAACCCCGTCATGATTCAATGATTATAATAAAGCAGTGAGCCTTGGAGTCAAGAGGGACGCTGATAAGGTGCCCTGGGAAAAATTTGTGATCAAAAAAAAGGGAAGGTGAAGAAACGAAAACAAAACAAAACTGGAAAGAAGAAGACATGACTGTTTTCATGAAAATGCCTGTTTCATGAAAAATTGACCTCCCTGCCCTAATGGTATGTTAGTCTGCTACTCATCAGTGCTTTTCCCTCCCTAACCCCAAACAGAAATCTTCTTAAGAAAATAATAGACGTGAATCCATGCTTACCAATGATGTCTTCTTTCACTTTTCATATCTGACCAGGATAAAAAATGACTTTTTAAGTCGTAGTTCACAAAAGACTTTTATACACCTCGTAATGTCCTGTCCCTTGTCCATGTCATAAAGATTAAATTGAATGTTTATGTCACTGGAATGTCTGTTTGAAATGTCTCTTGTGTATGTGTGCATCACGTATTACACCTGAAGCGAACATGCAGTGGTCCGTATCAATAACATATGTTTACACCCCTTGAGCAGAATCATGCTGAATAAAATAGTACCTACCTTCCCACTTTTCGCAAATGTACGAAAGCCCAATCGTGCCACTGAAAGAAAAATAAAATCAGTGGTCAACTAATTCGTAATAACGAATTACTAATTCGCTATTACTATCTACTAATCCGTCATTACGAATCCGTTGGTACGAATTACGTATTCGTGGTGTTAGTAATCCGTAATAACAAATTAGTAATCCGTAATTGCGGATTGTTGATTTGTAACAACAGATTGATAATTGGTAATAACGGATTAATTTCCAAAGATTTTTTTTCTTTTGTGTGGCACGATTTGGCTTTCGTACAAATGGCACTGTCTTCTTCGCATCTTCCTCGAAATATCATGTAATTTATTTTTTGTAAAGCCGGATTATACTTCGGCGGTATAAAATCTGGTGATAACTTTATTGTGTGTCTGAATAAATTTCTAATTTAAACAGTGTTTACTTTTCCCTTTCAATTACGGTATCGTATATTTGCGCCACGCTAACATCAATGTACCTGTTGTGTGGGTTTTGTTGTCGCTGTGTTGAAATAATCCGTTCCCCGAGCTCTGGTCAAACACAGACAGGTGGCGCTGGGGTAGATCATTTTTTTTCCATGATACTAGTCTCACAGCAGGGTTTTTTGGTCAATATCGACCACTGAGTCAACAAAGTCTGTTCCTGCTATTCGTGTTGTAAAAAAATTGTGTTGATTTTAAGCAGATACACAGGCGCTCGTGAATCCAATCAAGCCAAGCAAATGCCATTTAAAAGACAACGTGAAAGCAATTTACCGGAGAGAGTTGTCCGTGTTTGGCGGGGGCAAGATGTGTTTTGAGAAGCCGAACGTGCGCTGGAATGCAACATTTTGAGGCACTTTATTGTGAGGGAATCAGATCTGCTTGTGGCCGACAACGATGTAATCAAGGCCGCTATAGCCCCAGTGTGGAGTCTTCATTTACATAGATAGTCGAGACATGGGCTTCACTCTTTCCATTAGATCATCTTGCGACGGTATGAAAAGAGTAAAGATGGTCACTGCGGATGCACAATTGGTCAGCGTCATTCTCCGTATAGCTTTCATGGTGAGTTGGTAAACTTGACTTTTTTAAGCACAGTGTGTGGGATTGTATTCGAGTCTTTGGCTTTTACATGTTGGTACTCTAATTTGCATCATTGGCGTGTATTATAGTTTTTGAATTTCAAAAAAAAGTTTATTCGAGATTTCCCTCCCCTGCGTTGGTAATTCATTACAGCAGTGTTCGCAGGAAGTTTAGGCTCTTCAGTGAATTCTGTGTGAGTCATGTCTTTTAATTTAAAGAAGAAGAACGATAATTTAATTGAATGGCCACCCACGGCATATATTGCGAAGATCCCTTATAAAGATTTCAAATGTTTTGGTTGTGTGCGCAGTAAGGGTGATTCACAATACTGCGCCTCTAAGAGTTTGCAACGCGTTGACTAATCACAGAGCGCGAAATCTGTCGACCCTTTCCAAACGTGCATTGGGTCGACATGTGATTGATCAACGCGTTGCAAACTCTTGGAGGCGCACTACTGTGAATCGCCTGTATTACACTTTTACTTGTTAAAAGCATGGATTTGGCGTTTTATTTACAGGCGACATTCGTTTCTCAAGTTTCAAGTTCAAGCGAAGTTTGTAAGTTCTTTGTCCTTTTTTTTTCAAATTCTGAAAATCTGATTGCCTATGAGCATGATTGTAATGCCAAATTGGTTCCGTGAAAAGAAAGAAAGAAAAAGGCGGGACATGTTTCCTGTCGGCTGTTATGTATTTTATTTTATTTAACCAACAGTGGAAAAAAACCTTGAAATTAGTAACTCTTGATCCGACACAGGCTGACTCAAATAGTCATTCCACATTTCCGTTTGCTATCTCGTTCAACATGAGCTGGTACCGGGTGTCGTGAGAATTTCAGACCTTCATAAAATCAGGACTAATTTTTCATATTAGGACTTTTCATCCTCTGTTACCACTGTAGTTAATTGTCAATGTCAAATGCATGCTCAATTTGGGCGTGCTAAAGTGCCATTATGTAAAACTAAATGCACAAGCACACCAAAGTAAGGGTCATAACTGTGCGTGTGAGAAGACTAGCCCAGGTTGGACATACCTTCTTTACACTGCCGCAAATGCGAGGGTATGAATTCATCCTTCCATACCTTACCTGACGGAGGTTGCAAACATTTCGTTCACGTGCTCCTTATGTCCGGAAATGCCCAAATGCTGTGGATGGAACAAGTTGTCATTGGGCGACTTGTTTGTAGAAAATATACGTAACTCCATGTTTCCGTCGTAAATATCCCAAACCTTTCGTGCGAAGACTTTACACGCGCGCAAACGAGATGCACAGCGACGGCAGGCAAAGTCTGGGTCTCCGTTTTATATGCACTGTGAAAGGTTCAAATTATCAAATTTATTTGCTTTAAATTTGATTCCTGATGACGCCATCATGACGCCAACCTTGGAGGCATACCTTTGGATCAGGGTTGATTTTAGCCAACTTTCAAGTTCTGAGGTTGTAATGTTGCCTGAAGAAATGTTGTCAGGGAAAAATGAAGAAAGATGGAATTTTACAATTTCAAAAGTGTCATTAGGTTGAGCCAAATCACCTTAAATCCAAATAAAACCAATCACTCACCTGGTGTAAGACAAAGGAAACACCAACTTTTTCTCCGTGTGTTATTACAAAGTAGCTCTGAGGCTACAGAGGAGAGCATTGACGTCACGCGGCGAGCAAAGGAGCATCCCCTCCCCCATAATGAAAATTATGAAAAACATTATGAAAAAAAAAGGAGGGAATCTCGAGGAGGATGGGATTGCCCAATTGGCTTGAGACCAGTCACCCAACGAATAAGGTATCAGTTGTGGGTGTACAATAGTTGTACACACGGTTGTACATACAGATGGGGACGCAGCATGCTGAAGAGGAAGATTTTTTTTCAGCCGAAAGTTGCCAGCCCGTTCACAGTGTCTTCAGCGTGGAAGATACCATGCGCCTTATCTTTATCTTAAAGGTTTTTCATTGTCCACACTACGTGTTTAATAGGGCCTACACACATTCGTCGTCTCTGATACTACCGACTTGGCAGATGATGAAAATGAAACTTGCCCAATAAACGTGGGACACTGTGTGTGGCTATGCTTCATTTTCCCACGAGAATAAACAAGACAGCTGTTCATGGCAATCATTCCTCGCTATTTAATCATCCCCTTTGTCAAATATTTACTGAAATCTTGATGCAAATTGATCGCCACGGAAGAGAAAAAACAATTTATGTGTTATTAAATTTTAAGACGCCAGGTTGGCTCCATTATATTTATACAGGTGTCATTTTGAAGATAACAGCTGAACATTGCTAAATATGCCAGCAAAAACAAAATGTCCCCACAAGGTGCTTTTATCGGAACTCTGGAAGTAACATTATACTTGAGATCATTTTTCTCACAGGATGGAGGTACGATTATAGGCAAGTTGGCAACTCCCTGAAACAGTTTTTTTTTCGAGGAATGGCGGTATTCTAAAAAAAAAAAGTCAACGAGTCTTGAGCTGGACCAAGGGAGGGTGCAATTTTTTAAGCTCCTTTGATCGAAACTACACTTCGCTGATTCACGAACGATCACAAAACGCACGCGTTACGGTCGCATACCAAGAAAACGAACATTCCCGACCAATATGGCTTTTTTTAACGATGAAAGATCTCCTGTCACAAATTGTCACGGGGTGATGATATCCTGAAAGTAATATGTCAGTTTTCTGAGATATAGTCTGAGAAACTTTATCACTCGACGAAGACATCCCGAAAGTAGGATGTCGACTTCCGAGAACAATTTTATCATTTTCGGGATATCGACATCCCTAGATAATACATTTTCTACAAATGTCGACGTCATCCTACTCTCATGATGTTGTCAGATTGTGATTTATTTTTGGCTGTCGATATTCTTCTCTCCAAATGTCATCTCTTAAAAGTTCACCAGAATAATTGTTGCATCAAAAGATGTCGTCATCCTTCAATGTATTATCCAAGGATGTCGATACCTTGCCCGTGAAGTCTTATATTCCTTAAATGAAATAAATCGGATTGCACGTCCACATCTCTCAAGAGGGCATAAGGAATAAAATGAGCAGCGCACTTGTATTTCAAATAACGTTCAAGCATGTAGCTTTTGCATATTTTTGTCATTGCAACATTGGAAAACGTTATTTTCTTCACAAAAAGACCAGAATTTTAGAAGTGCTGTCCGACCTGGTAGCTCATTATCTCGGACTTTTGTAAATGATCCGTTTTTGTAATTTTATATGGTCTTTTACAATATTGTGGGAGGAGGGCTGTTAAATAATCGTAATTATAATAACAGATTTCCTAAACCTTAGTTTGGTTGCATGAGACTCATATGTATCATTGGCCTTTTTCCTCCTTTTCGAAACTGTACTAAAAGCAGTGCAAGAAGTCTGAGCTAATTACTTCTGGCTAGCCAGAAATTCTCGAAAGCAACATCTTTTCGGCCGTGGCAATGTTTTTATTGTCTTTTTATAGACCCCTTTGGTTTAGGAGAAAAACTCCATCAGCACCTGTGGCAGGCTTTTTTACAATATTTAATTGATTGTTCAGGAAGATGTTTCGGTGCAGAGAACTTTTGTCTTTGCACACGCCGTCTATTTGGAGCGTTTGTGTTACTTGTGCCGATATGTATACATTCATTTTACAACGAATGTCATGGTTTGTTGCAAGCGTCACGCTTCAAATTGCCTGCCTCGTGCAGAACCGGTGTAAAACAAAAGGTGTCAACATTGCAAAGCGACTTGAGTTTCATGTCTTGCTCAACATCTACATTTCACCCACTGTCATGCTGGATTCCTAGACCAAATGCTAATGCTGGATAGAGGTATCCTCCGTGTGAACACTTCAGATGCCACATGGAGATACTCAGCCGACGACAGTGCCACGGAGCTTGACAAGATACTTCGAGGAAATCTGGAAGACAGGGTGTACACTGACGACACTGACAAGCAGTGGCACTATCAAGTAGCCGTATTCAGGTACGTGCCATTGGTCCAATTGTCTCCAAAAGCCTAGTACTGTGCTGCTCTGGGTTTGGGGTCCTATGCGTGTTGCGGGCTATTCACGTCATACTAACTGCAGGCAAAAGACAGAAAATATCTCAGATGTTAAAGTTTGATGGTCAAATTGTGGCCGATTCTCGAGCCGGGAGTATTAAAGAATTATTAATTGAGGTCTCAAACGGCGTCAGGCATGCTATCAGCGGGCCTGTATTTACAATCAGTTTTAATGCGTGGACAGACGGACAGAAAACCAACAGACACACAGCATCAATCATACTTTTGACAAGCAATGCGTGCATGTGTGCGTGTTCTTTGGTATTCCATTGCCTGTTTATTCAAAAAAGTGAACGCTATCAGAACTCCCTCGTAAAATAAATAGAGCCTCTGAGGATGGAAAGGTTGTGCCCCTCTGAGATGTCCAACTAATTTCCTTCGTCAAAAAATCAAGATAAAACTTTCTTTAAACATGCAAACACTGCACATGCAACGTGGAAAGTAAAATATACACAACTTAGATAACATAATTGTGTACCTATTCAAAAGGGAAGATTAAAACCGGGGGGGGGCTGAAGAATTTGTGTTTATAATTTGACCATACGTGCTTTTATACGTGCACTCTTCATATCATAGGCTTGTCCGAAACCAAATTTTCGGGGAGGCGGCATTTTTTTCGGAGGGGAGTGCTGAAATATCTGGAAATTTACCTTTTAGCCTTTCTAGGACTTGTTACAGTCCTTTGAGGGAAGAAGTGAAAGAGCAACCCAAATCGCCTTTTTGATCATTAAAAAAATCGACCAATGAATTTTATGGGCGATAGAGCAACGTTGATTGTGTGTATTTTCAATGCCAGGCATAATGGTAGCATAGTTCTAAACGGGAGTCTCCAAGTTTCCTTCTCTGGTGGGCCGGCTGTTTCTGTGGAGAGTCTGCATGGGGACATCAAGATTGCTACCCGTCTTATACTGGATGGCTATCTGAACCTCGCCAGTGAAACTGGGTCGTTAGGAGGCTATGGTGGTACCTAAGATTTCCCCTTACATTTCATTGCGTGCAACTTTACCCTTATCCTTTGTTCTTGTATTGTTGGCTTTGGCATTGTAAGGGACTTGGAGGTTACAATACATATTTTTTAATTGAGCAGTAGGGCATATATCAATCTCGCAGGGTTACCTGTGGCCCCTTCAGAAATGTTTTACAGGTGCTTGTATTTTAATTATGTCTTAACTCTAATCAGCCCCATTAAAAACCTTAAACCGGAGCTGGCTGATCACAGGGCGGTTTCAACTCCTGCAAATCTTACCGGTGCAGTACCAAATTTTACTGAAACTCGAATGATTTCTGCATGTGCAAAAATAAACGGAATCTATATCTGTGGCTGTATGTTTGAATCTTTATGAAGTCAAACTTTAAAAACGATCCTGAAGTCATACAGACTTTACACGAAATTAACGTGCGGGGGCACAAAGTGATAAGAATTAACAGAGGGTGGGTTCTGTTTAGGGTACCGGTTAAGAAGAGCGTGAGGATTTCCAAATCTTCCGGGGAAAAAATCAGCTGATTTCTCGTTCTACATTAACCCTCCTCATTAGCAAGACGCGGACCAGGAGGTGGAGGTCTCTTGGCAGAAGACGGTAAACCTCCGAAACCCCCAGGCGGTGGGGGCCACGGGGGCACCGGAGGGGAAGCCTTCATCGAGAGGACGTTGTCCCTGTCGGGTGACAAACTGATTTGGAAGGAGACTAAGTATGGTTACCCGTATCTGATCGGAGATGGTTACCATCTACTTGGAGGAAGTGCAGGTATTAGGGTAACCTCAGTGAGACATAAGTAAGAAAACTAAATTGGAATTAAGAATTACTTACAATGTTGTATATGTGTACGAACATCTTGAAATAAAAAACGTTTAAATCTCAGTCAACATAACTGGTTCATGTGCCTTGTAAGAACCCATACCACGAGCTGGTGCATCCTCAGTTCATTATTTTCAATGTTGAACCGATTGGGTGCTGGGGTCTGCTAGCTTTGATTGGCTAGGGCCTTTCATTTTGTGTGAGATGGAATTTTCCAGATTGATTGAACCAAATATCTTTACCTTCCGCAGGTGGGAAGATTGAATATGAACCAAATGTTCTGGTTTTTGGAAATCCTAAAGGTGGAGGAGCGCTGGAAGTGACCGCTAAAGGAAAGATCACCATTGGTAAAAAGAGAAGGGAAATCAGATACATATCATAAGTTGCATTGCATAAGAGGGTGAAAACGAGATGCGATCATCATTGAAATCCTGATTAGCATTGTATGTACCCAAGGGCTTTTTGGCCGTTTTGTTGATGGATCTTTGTCAATTAAGGACAGAGTTCGTTGCCTAGGTTGTGGATTGTCTGCGCTAAACAAGGCGACCGGTGTGCATATACGTTTTTGTTAATCATTCTCCTATTTCACCATTACGCGCAACCGTTATTGGATCTTTGTAATACCTTGAATTACGTTAGAAACTCATTTTGATACGTGTTTCAAATTAACCTTATTTATCATGCAATCAAAACATTAATTGACATTATTAATTAACCATAGGTTGGTGTAACCGTTTTAACCTAGGACTGTCCTTGTCTCAGTGTATGCATTATGTTTGAGTAGAGAAATTTCCTACCAACCTGTGCCAAATGTATTTACTTTTTCATTACATTTTTTAAAATGCATTTTGTTGGTAATCTTTTTACCTGTAGCGTTTCATTGGCTGGTGAATATTTTCTTTGATTAGTTCGTAAGCATGAGATACAGCAGTTTATGTTGTAGAGGGTGCAAATGGTAATGCTTTTCTCGTCGAGAAAAAGACAAGACTGTTTACTGTTTGATTACATACAATCTATATTCATTCATGCGCCTCGTTTACAATAGGCAGCCACGTATCGGCGGACGGACAACGTGGGATACCCTACGATGCTGCATTCCTTGATAGATATTCAGCTGAACCATGTGCAGGGGGAGGGAGCGGTGGTCTGATCAGGTTAAGAGCAAAGGAGGTAATGTTAACTCACTTTTGCAATATTGTGTAACTCATTTAAAGGCGTGTTCACTGTAAAAACCAACGCTCATTAAAAACGCGCTTTTGCGTTAATAGTAAATATCCGTTTGAAATTAAACACCATTTTTTGTTTTTTGGAAATACATGTAAACCTGTTTTGGTGTTCAGAAGGTGGTACCACCCGATAAATATGTTTTTTTGTCTTGTTATTAACACCCAAATGTGTCGCTAACTTTATCAACACATCAACACGTAACTGTTTAAAAATTGAACACCGCAGCGTGTTTAGCTTGGGATTATTAACACCACAACAAGTTCGGAGAGTATAAAATGGAAGATGTTTTAAAGGCGTTAAAACATTCATTCTTTTTACAATGTTAAAGCTGCCATTTTTGCATGTGCAACTGGAAAATACGCCCTGCTTTGAAATACGCCCTGCTGTATATGTTTATGGTATAGCAAGTGCCAACGAAAAGTTGCCCCAGAATGATCTTTATGTTCACAATCGCACGTACATGGAATGGGCCATTTGCGTCTGTTACCGTAATATAGTGTTTATAGTCCGAAAGTAGAGAAGAGTCTTTTTAGATTAATGTGTCTTAATACAGGAAGTTCTATGTAAGCGCTCTCACTTCGTTCTATGCATTGTTCATCCGCACAGCTTATAGAATATATGCTTCAACTGCCTTTCACTAGGTTACGCTTCGCAATCTGATACCATCGAGCGAGCTATTCTTTCTTTCATTTTTAGTTACATTCAAAAGTTTAATGTCTCCTAAAGTTTCCTTCCACGCACTGCTTTACTGTGAATTCCCAGATTCTATCCTGTTTTCGAGGTACATACAATCTATAGCAAAGTGGCATCTTTACTTTAAGGTTTCTTCCATGTTGAATTCTGTATATTGCCTTGAGACGTCCGATTAGTAAACAAACAGAACAAAACAAAACTAAACAAAAGACTTCTAGGTGTTAAACTTACACTGCTTTGTGTGGAAATCGAACTGCTTCCATACAGTGGCTTAGAACATGCAAGGTGTTAAGTCAAATTGGTAACATATTACCTGATTCCTGTCATTCTTTTTCTTCAGTGACGTTTCTTTAGATTTTTTTTGCAATAATATCATATTATAATTTTGTAAGAATTTTTTTTAGTATTAGGTTCCTTCCACGGCTTTCAGATTGAGGTCCGCCATGACGGTTTTCTCTCTGTGAGGGGGGCCGATGGTGCCCAGAATACCGACAACGGCAGTTACTGCGGCGGAGGAGGGGCTGGAGGCATTATCGAGTTCCAGATCTCGGACAGGGTGCACGGATATCTGCTGGGAGACCACCTGTTCCTTAACGGTGGCAAGGGAACTAAGCTAGGTGGTCGAGGCAGGCTGGAGATAACAAGTAAACATCTGTTTGTGTTACACGTACATGCTATTTTAATCATTCACGTCATTGGTGATAGGTTGGTATTTTCTATGCGTTGTTTTTCAGTTAGATTTTTGACTTTGAAGCGACTGAATATCTGTGGCTCTCGTTCGTTGAAGTGTCTTGACTGTAATAAGAATGACACTGAAAAGGATCTAAACAAAAGGATCGGCAGTATTTTATCGAGTAGTTTATTGGGTATTGATGTCTATAGGACGGTCGGGTCTTTTTTTAACCCTTGTATAGTCTCACTGGAAGGTTATTTTTGTAAAGTTTCACTCGCAGCTAGTGTACAGCTCAAGGTCCGTGATCAAGTGTGCCTCCCGCTCAGAGTTTGGAGAAGAAAAGGACTTTGAAAAACTATCCATCACCGCCTAAGTTCAAATTCAAAGGGGAGCTGAGATTACTTCTTGAATTCAAAGAAAGAATCAACCATTGATCAAATTCAAGTCAAATATATACACACCAACCTTCATTTGTAAATCTACTTTAAAATTCTAAACAAACCTAATTGTCTGGTATTTCTATTATTTCGAATATTATTTTTGTCACTTTACTTACGCTCTTGCTATCCGGTTTGACCGCGGGAACCTCGACAGATTTCATGCCCCGAAATGGTGAGTCAGTGTTTCTCTGTGTAGTAAGAAAGGCCGCGCAAATAATTTTTTGTTTACAATGAAGTAAAGTTTTCAGGCATTTGTGCAAGTAAGTTTAAATAAATCAAAAGTACTGGAACAGCCGGCGCAATATAAAGATGAAACTTCAAGCTGTACACATTTCTTTCAGACGGCCACCGACAGCCGATGGACTGTGGCTGGCTTGTAGGGTTTTACGTTTCGAAAATTTCATATTGGGGGACCAGGGAGTTACACGGACCTCCAGTTAGGTGCAAACCCCATAGTTAAGCCAATGATTTGAAAGTGCCGACAAATTTATCACAGATAGACATGTACGTATCACCTTCCGGTTTTATATTTTTTAAGAGAAATTATATCTTCCAAAATATTTTCCTTGGTTTATTGTGCATGAGAACGCGAATACATCCTTCGCTTTCTTGCATCTTCTGTGAGTGTATCATAAAATGGAGTGGTCTCGGTGTGCATAGGATCCAGAAGCTGTGACGACAGTGTGGTTGACTGTGATTGTACCTCACAGCCATCGATGACAGTGTCACCTTCCGTGACCGGATCACCTGGGGAACCGAACGAAGGGTGTCCGACGGTCCAACCAGCGCCGTGCGACTGCAGCGAGTGCCCCGAGGCCACGAGTCCGATGACAGAGGTTGGTACGAGCGACTGTGGCGACGCCGTCACGTGCCAGACAACCTCTGAGGCAACAGACCGTGATTGCAGCAAGACAGTGTGTCCGACGGTCCCTGACGAAGGGGTCAGCTGCAAATGCCCTGAAAACACTGACAGTCCGGTGAGTATCAGAACTGGAGAAGGCTTTAAAACTGTCACAACTGTCGTGAGTACAACACTTTCCTACCAAGGAAAATTCCAGACTATAGGTATCTATAAGTATCATCATATACAGAGGAAGGACACGGGAGTTTGAACTGCCCGGGCTGTAATATCTGGAGAATTACCGCTTTCGGGGCATGCCTGGTATGTCCATAGCTAGAGCGCAGCGAACGCTGGCGACGCACCATCTGTTTCACAACCACGAAACCCCTTTGTACCCTTTGATCGCAGCTGCAATTTGTCGCTGGTAATCTACATCCTTAAAACTTTGCGCACTGGGGTATAGTAAATTGGATATTTATGCTTTGTTGGTGCTTGGTATTATCTCATGACAACATCAAATTTAATGCTTGCACAGCTGCTTGCATTACGCTGTGTGCCCTAAATCTATGTGCGCTGTTATTGCCCTTAATGAGCTATCTCATCTGGAGTTATTTTGGGAATAAATAGCTCAGTTGTTTACAAGATTTTGTGTTTTGTTTGAATCATTTTTATTATGGCATTTGTACAAAAGCGTATTTTATGAGATATCATGATCACTCCCGGTGATGAAACAGCGCAGTTTGTTACTTATGAACTTGGCTTTCCAGTAAAAGTCAACATTTTGTTGGCTAGTCTTAGCCAAATTCGCCAAATACCAAGTCTTTGAACACTGATGTATTGGACGGAGGAGACTAGAATTACAAACTTTGCATGGATAATGGAACAGTGTATCAATTTTTTAAAAGTTTATTTACATTGGCAAAAGTGGGTCTAATACCAGGGATTTCTCTCTCTATTTCCCATTGCTAGTATTGCCAGGCGCCGCTTCTCCAGGTTAAGATGCAGGCAGTAATCGGGCATTTTCGGAATGTTTTCTATTATCCCTCTGACTTGGCGGTGACCATCACTGAACACTTTGAAGTGCCACAAATACAACTCCTTCTGTGTCTTTCCTCCATGGTATAATGTATGAAAGTACTAAAACTACAAGAAACAACATGAAAAAGAGTCAAAATTTCCTGTGTTTCAACATACTCTATATATTAACGCAACAAGACCACTGGATGAGAATATTGCTTTCTTTGTTTAAAGTCGAACCTTTGCAGGTCTATTGTTTGGTTTCGAAAAGAAACAACTTATGTTTAACTCACTTGTGCAAAATAATAAAAGAAGGTCCTTGTCAGAAATCTATAGAGATATCAAACATGGCTGTGAAATACTTTGAAGACGGTGTTTTTTAATTGGGGAAATTTTGGCGAAATCTGTTGGCTAAACATGAGCGAGGCTGGACTGATTTCATTTAGATTTTTTATGCACCAGAGGTTTCAGTCTACAAACGCGACAGACCAACTGCTTTTATCCTTTATTCGCATTTCCTGTTTGTTTAACCACTTTCAAATTGATTTTCTAAAGCATTTCCCAATTTTCAGCCTAGCACAACGGAAGCGCTCACACTCGACAATGCTGCACAATTTCTTGAAGTAAGTTATTTTTCCACTATAACAAGATAAACCTTTTTCAATGCCATTCAAGTCGAAGAAATATTTTAACAAAATACTAAGATGTATTTCATTGTTTCTCCTTTAATAGGAGGCCTTGGATGAAATTGGTGAATTCGGAGAAAATTCAACACGGGTAAGTTTCAAACTCATGGTCTTTGAGGTGATTCCTTAGAAGACCTGTTAACAATTTAACCCTCCATGACCTGTCGGCCATCATTACTTGTACATGTATTCAAAGGAAGAAGTTGCAGTTAATGAAGTCCTCACAGACATGTAACACCGTTGTTGCATTCAATGCCGCAGGAAGGCGCCGTACAACTATTGGTGGCAACTGAAATTCTTGGCCTGAACTTGGGGAGCCGTCTTGCTGAGGCCCGGCAGCCTGGAGAAGTGGTCTCTGTGACGGCTGCGTCAGAGACTGTTGGTAACAACTTCGTAGTACCTTTCTGACTTTTGCTAACGTTACTGGCGATTTTTTTTAAATTCCTTTTATTTGTAGAAAAAAAGTGTCGGTTCTGGTTATTAACAGAGCCAGCAATGGGCAATTAGTGGATTACTCCAAAAAAAAACCAGAACAGAGAAGCTCATGTGTAATGTCACATTTGATCAAAACCCATTAATGTGCCCAGTCAAGAAATTTGCCTCCAGTTGCATATTTATTTTTTCACTGAAATGTAAACTTCGTTTAGTGTTCAGTAGAAGTATTCCTTATTTATGGTTGATAATGTTCCTGTGAGATATTTGTTTGAAAAACTTTTTGAATTTTTTTTTTGGGGGGAGGGTTTGTGTTCGAGGCCAGCCATGATAGTTTGCCCACCGTACGGTTGGCACTTTTGACATAGCAAAACAAGGATATACAACGTCATTGTTCCAGAATGCCGCATACCTCTTGTTCTCATCTCCTTTGATGTATGCTATTTTTGTTTCAAGCTATGCAAGTGCAGGTCGATGACGCGAACGCATTTAGCGGCGTCGCCTTCCCCAATGCCTCAGACCTCATCTTCAGCTTGGACGGATGGAGGGCGCCCTTTCTCTGCCAAGAAATCACGGAGTTCCACGCGAAAGAAAACATCTCAGGTAATTTCTTTTTTTTTTACTTCTGCACTTCGTTGACATTATGATACAAGAAAAACTCCACCATCAAAGGAAGTAATTAGGGTGTTACGTCACTACATGTACTTGGGGAAGAAATGAAGGTTTTTTTATGCTGGTTTAATTTAGCTCTGATAAACAAAACATGATTATCCCTGAACAATGGGGGCGCTATTCATCAAAGGTAAACACCACTCACAGGTGCTAAAGCCCCGTTACATTTTACCGCCAAACATTGTACCTAATCTAGCCTGAGTTGCAGTTAACCCAAAATCTGAATGTAACCGCTGAAGGGCCAAAATGATGTAGCCCCAACCTTGTATGTAAAACAGAAGTGCAGCGGTTTTAATTTGAACCCCCAGAGCCCAAACCGTAAATGTAGCCCACAACTGCCCGTGTCTTTGTGCGACGCGATCCCTATTAATGAAGTCCCAATAGTATACGGGGTTAATATGGGATATCGCGACTGAGCCTCATTTCCTATCCGGCTACATTTTGGCACCGCATATCGTCACCTGGGAGATTTTGACATCCCGTGAAAATGTATCACGGTACGAGGAATACAACGCTGAAAGGCAGGATGCCATGTGCCAAATCTTTCATCACTTCCCATTTGCCATCTTTAGTATTATGGCAGGAACACAAGAAGACAACTTCGGAACATTAACTATCTGGTGATATTTTCTCTACCTCTCGACAACGTAATGGATGGTATCGCCCAAACTCTGAATCATATGCGCCTGAAACGCTTTTAATTCTTAAAGAGTGGACAGGGTTAAATAGCTTATTTAGACATCAGCTAAAATGTTACATACTGAAATGGACCCCAGTATCAAGCTTTTCAAAAAAAGGGTGCTGACGGCCGTTGACAGTCAAACAGTTTGCTGTTCTTCAGTATTACACAAATTAAAAGAACATACAACAAAATCGATGGGATGACAATAGACACAAGTACCTCCCCCCCCCGTCACAAAGAGAGAGATTGAGCGGGCACTTACTGGTTGTTGTGCTCAGCGCATACAGAAAGACCCTTTTTGCGTTTGCGAAATGTACTCTGTTCGATAACCGCGCTACCTTGCAGTCGCACGAGTTGCACCGACCCAACTGACGTCACTGTTAAATAACAAACCTCCCTATTATCGTATCAACATGTAGATAAAACAGGTATGGAAGATAGATGAAATTCAAATTAGGGAACGAATGAATAGTTAAGGTTCCGGACACCTTGACCTCCACATCGAAAAAGGAATGCGACTTTCAGTTTTACCTCATCAGTGGTACACTGGAACAGTTCACTAAAGAAAATAAAGAAAAAGATTTGGGCTAGGAGGAAATGCCATTACTCATGCGTTAGTGAACTGCCGGAGATACCCACTGTGGGAATGTATTTTTTAAAGAATATTTGCCGCCGGTACTGTTATGATTCCGAGGAAATCACATTTTCGACAGCCCTTTTGCCGGCGAGGTAACTGTCTCTTGGGTATGAAGCATAGGACGACATCGCGGGAACTATCTTTATGCGATCTTATTGTGCAGTGGTGACTAGTAGTTCTTAATCAAGTTAAGTGCTTACATTGACCGAATACACTTAGACCCCGACTGTTTGTCCCATTCAAGTAAGTGGGTGTCTTAGAATCGAGGGTCTGTGAAATGAGGATTTTATGGAAATATTTGTGTCATAGAATCCGCCGATATTACTGACTTTATTTTCGCTGAGACTGATTTTGTGTGGTCAATGTATTTCGTATACAGATAGCGCGAACCGACTTTTAAGCTGATTTTTTTTCTCTCAATTTTGTATTGAAGTTTGAAAGTTAACCATTAATAGACGTGCATGCCTTTTGTTTCAAGAAAATACAAAAAAGGTACATGTTGGTCCGAAAAGCTTTCGTAAGGCAAGGATTGTCATTGTCGACACCATTGTGATGTTCGACCTTCAGTTCACTCCATTTTGTCGTCAAGTGTTGACCTGACAAGTGTGATTGCTCTTAAAAGCTGGTTCACACTTCGGGCGAATGCGACAGCAAAGGGAACTGGAGTCCGCGAAACGTTTGCAGCGCAAGTCGTAAAGTTGAACAGTGTTCAATTTTGGCTAATTCGCAGCGCGAATATCTGATCTGACGTCACGAACGCGTTCGTATTCGCTTTCGTTCCCTGCGTGAACTGACTTTAAGATTGCGTTCAACCACTAAATAGCCGTTAAGCTTTCTCCGAAGAGGAAACCGCCGCACACAGTCGACTTGCTGCATGAAAGCATGAATAAATACAAGCAGCAGAACAAGCCCACAGTCTTTTTCAGCTGTCGAGTTGCAGTGCAACCGACGTGAACATGTGTCATGACTTATTCCAGTTATCACTGTCATTTTTGGTCATTTTGTGGCAAAACCTTCATAGATGGGTATGGTCCACTAATTTACAGCCAATTACTAGCCAAATAGCAGGGTGGGTCGTAAGTTACGACACAAATAACAGGGGAATGGCTTTGTCACAAGCTATTCAAAGGGATAGTCTGCGACACTAATTGGGATCGGATGCTTTATGATCTGCTTGTGATTCACTTGTGACGTCGTGCCTACAATCGATGCACAAGGGTGTTAAGAACCACAGAGAGCAACAGCTGCATGCCCACAATTACATTTATGAGATTCCCAGGACATAAGCCAAAACGGGGAAAATAAGACGACTTCTTCAAGGCAGAAGGAGGAGGGGGTCTTGCTTTGAGGCAAGGGAGTATTTGGAATTATAGAAGTCCTGTGGGCACTCTTTTGGTAATTTTAGTAATTTTGTGGGATGTTCCCATTTATTCATAACACCTTCCTTTCAAGTGTGAACATGGAGAAAGTTGTATATGACTTCAACAACTGACGCTCAACAAGTAAACCCGCAGAATCAAGGATGCCATCATCACGTTCCTGTACCGAAAATCATCTTTCACACTTATTGTTGGCTTTTGTTTCACCTGGTAGGCGACATAATTATTGTCAACGTGCTCTATGCAGACATTGGAGAGCTTTTGACTGGAACTGACCCAACAGAGGGGTATGTAATCGTATGTTATTGTAGACGTCAGTCACGCTATAAGAGTGGCGTGAGAAATTAAGGATCGGCACAGTGATTTGGAATTGTAAACTAAAGACGTGCTCATAGAACTCAAGAGTTTGTGGGTTATTCTGCAGATTTGTCACAACATATCGGTTCGATTAAAACCTGAAAGTTTGAAATATGTACGCCCTTTGGTAAGGTTCGTGTTACAAGTGGCTCAACCGAGGAAATTTGTGCAGTGATGGTTGTTTGGAATGTGTCTTGGGGGCAAAGCGGGCTCGATGTTGACCCCTCGATATAAACACGCAAGAGTAATGAACCGGGTGCTATCCGATAAGACAGGATTTAGACATCAGGCCTACCTCTCTGCATTTCACGAATTCCCTGACCATGTAAACCAGACTTGCTCTTATGAATTATATTTTTCGTGGAGGGAACTGGGATCAGGTAATTATTTCATATTTTCCTCATTGAAAAGGCAATAAAAATTCATGAGTATCGCGTAAGCTTCGTGCTATTCCCAGTGGTAGATCGTAGGATACTGCGTTAATGATACAATCTTCACTTGGGATTACTTAGTTTTTCCACCCACAAGCCCGTGTCGGTCAACAATTTGATTGCAGTGGGTTTTTGGTGTTCAATCAGCCGATTACAAGCTTGTCTGAAGAGTAGGTTTATTTGAATTTCAATCCAGTGGACGTTCACCTGGTCCTTCCGAACTCAGGTAGATCTTAAAACAGTAAACGTCATCTCCAGTATTTTCATTAAAACCTGAATTAATGAACAATCCCATTTTGTGAAGAATTGTCCCACTAGTGAACAGCCGTGTGGTCGGTACGTCTGTTGCCCTGAGTGAAAATGTAACTACTCACTTCACCTTGAGTGTTCGCATGACTGCCGAAAAGTTGAAGGTACGTTCAGGATGATGCATGTTGAGGCCAGGGAGACTCCGGCTAGACTGGTTCCCAGACATAAACTTCCTTAGGTCCAGACGCCACAATGGTTGAGTGACCAAATCAGGTGGAACTCCCCCCGTTTCCAAGAAATTTCCAAAATTGTCTAAAAATTTCGGAACCCATTTTCATTGCTTTTTCGTATACTGTCGTGAACTTTCAGAAGTATCCACAATGTATAAACAGGCTGTCTTCTCTGTTTCTGACAACAGTACTCTGCTAATTTTTACGATACCCGTTATTTCTCCTTATTCCTAATTTGCGATTGAATGCTGTACTGTTGCACAACATTCGATGAAGGGGACTTTTAATTGTGACATAAATTTGTAGCAGGCACGCACAAGCTACATCCCAATTAATGGCGTCATACATCTTCCATTGCGTTTGTAGCATGCTCTGTACATGAATTGGTCTGTGGTGGCTACTGGACCTAGAATTTATGCACTTCTAAGGAATTGGGTCAGGGAACCAGATTTAGGCATTGCTTTCTTACGTAGCCTTGTCCGTGCAAAACCAAACTGGCCTGCTTTGAATGGGTGGTAACCATGAAATACGCACTCCAATCTTACATCCCCCCAAACGTAACACAAGTTTGATTCGAAATATTTTCTGACAGGTTCCGTTTCTTATTTAGAGGTATTCAAATTGATGATTCAATATGCCATATTGAGAGTCAATCGTAATGGTAGCATGTTATTATCGAACGCATCGTCTTATATTGTGCTTTCTACATACTGCTTCTTTATTCAGAGAAATATTTCAGGGACCACCAGCTGCGTTTTCTGGGATTTCCATGCGCAGTAAGTCGTCAATCCTCATTCTCCCTCTCATGCAGCAATTTACCATTTCTATCAAATGAAATGGCATGAATTTGAATATGGTTTTAACCTCCCAACACTGACAGATATGATGCCACTTTAAATCTAGTATAACATGCATGCACAGCACAGTTAATCTTGAAGTTTTTTTTTTCTTTAGGCCAACTTGCACTATAGAAAATCGAGAAACAGTTTTGATCGAAATAATCAAATACAATCTTTCTTTGGAAGAGTAACCAAATGCAGTAATTATTGTTTGATTAAATTAAAACTCAGAAAATTTCAATTTTCTTTAGTACTACCTGAATACATTTTGCATTTGGGTATAAATGTCTGTTGTAACCCCTGTCAGTAATTATTTTACACCTGTTAATCTGTTCTGCTTTGATTGTAGAGGAACGCCAGGCGGCAGCTGGTCTCCTAAGGGTTGTTTGGTGGAGTATGAAAATGATACCCACGTGATATGCATGTGTGATCACCTGACTAACTTTGCCACACTGCTGAAACCAGACAAAGTTGTGGTGAGCTATTGATTAGCATGTGTCTCGAACGCCTGTTCTCTCTTAGAAGGCTCATGCTATCCAGCCAGATAAACTATGCGGTACATCCCTTGGGTATTAGAGCTATCTATTACCTTTCCTCGAACCATCACAGACCACGAGTCAATTTTTACAAAGCCGAGTGTTTTGGTCACGTATTACCGACTTCAGACTGTATTTGTTATTGCTTCAACTACTGTTTATTAGTGGAATTCATTATGTCTATATGTCGAATATTAGCCCAGAGCAATTACGACACGTTTGGACGATAACAAGACATATTACCCTCACCGTTGTTATCACATAACAGTGATATTGCATCTTGATATAGACTGGTCCCCGCTCCACATAATGCAGGAACTGCTAATGAGACTGTTCATACAGTTGATATTGGTGAGCATGAACTTGTAAACTAAACGATCAGCTGTGGGAGCGCTGCAATTTGTTTCAACGGTTTAAATTTGATTGACGTTCATTTCTCCGTATAACTGTCTTCACACTCTTCCAAAATATCGAGTATGGCGCGTGGGACCATACGGCGTGACGCAGCTTTCCGCAGCGTAGCAACTGACTGCGCCGAGACACTCGTTGCTTCGATTAAATTGAGACACTTCAATTGAGGGAAATATAAAGAATCTAAGACAGAGAGAGGTATAACAAAGCAATTCTTGACTCAATATCCCTTGGATGTTCAATATCTTATCCCATTCAAATCCCATGTCACGTTAGTCAATAATGGTGTAATAAATATAGACAGTTGTATGCATAAAACAGTTTCATTGTAGCATGATGGTCGAAATGGATTTGCGTAGAGCCCAGGGAGATGACGGCATGTGTCCTGTCATTCTTTGACGGGGGCGTTGAGCCAATCCCCTCCTTGGGAGAAAGAAATGTGTATTTAAGGTTATTTCGAACCTTTCCTAAATTCAAAATGTAGAGAGATACGGTACAAAAACGTAATGTGCACAGATTCGATGCAAGTTCAGGCGAATCAGCTCGCAAATACACGTCTTCATTGCCAACAATGCCTCCGAGTGTGATGTGGCGTCCAGTCCCCCCACTATAACGGCTTTTCAAAAATCGAGCACCAGGCATTGTCAGGATTTAGCTCGTCCCGCGAATGCCCTTTCGCGACGTAGGCTACATGCAGTATGCCAAAACGTAGCGGACGAGTCCAGGCCAGGTGTTCATTGCCTGATAGTATGTTTACCCAAACCGCTGGCTGAAAGTCACGGGGCCCGTCTTCCATCCTTCTGAAAAGGCTTCATGCTCATCAACGAGCGTGCATATCAAGGTTTTTCCTTGCTCATTAGATATTTGTGGTCCTTTTGCCACCTTCTTTGGCGCATGAGTTATGTAGTATTGTCTTTTGGTTCTTTTCTTATCTTTTGCTTTTTTTCTGGACTTGCTAATATGCTTTTCGTATTCCTTTTTTGCTTTGTTGAAGCGAAATGAATTGACGTGAAACTGAATGAAAGTTTCATTAAATAAATGAGTTAATCAGAAGTGGATTTAATCCCCATAACTGAACAAAATATGCCATTTCCTCCTTATGCGTATTTGTATTTTTCCCCCAAGATCCCACCTGGGGATGAGTTTGCCCTTGGTGTCATCTCGTACATCGGTCTTGGTCTCTCACTGTGTTCCCTGGTGTTGGCTTTCATTACAATCAGCGTATCACTAAAGTAAGCACACGCGAATTATGTAACCGGATCTCACAAAATGAGTCTTATGCCGATTTTGTTCCTTTGTGTATGTCGGATTTGAAAGTAAGAGCAAAAATGTGACTCTTTGTGTCAATGTATCACTCAGATCGTCATCCTTATGAAAGTTGATATTATGAGGACTATCGATGTTTAGTTCCTATTATAATTCTAGCTAATTTATGTAGCTGGAATCGGTGGTTTATGTTTTTACAACATACTGGTACACTTACTTTGAGTAACCGGTCTACTTCGAAACTATCTTCCGTGAACACTTAATACTAAAGTAAGAGAACGCTTGAATAGATTATTTTTTTAGATTATAGGCATAAAAGACTTCTATATCTGAAATCAGTTTGATATTGCTCAAAACCACCCACATTCTCCGAGGGGATGTTTTGAGAAGAGGCTTTCGAGAGTTCAAACGATGGCACTCAAAAGATCGCTGTCATGTCTTTTTTTTTACCTTTTCAGAGGTCTCAAGAATTTCCAGTCTGCGGTTATCCATCTCAATCTTATCGCCGCGCTTGGTCTCGCCGACACACTTTTTCTGATTGGTGCAGACGACACAGAAAATCAGGTGACTAATGACGTTAGGTGTCCTTGTTGCTATGGAAACAGTGCACTGGGGCAACGTGTTTGGTGAATTAGCACTATTTGAAACAACAGACAGAAAATAAATATATATTGCCCGATAATGAAGGTCTTAAATTCCATTAAGGAAAAACGGACCTGAGAATACATTGTCTGGAGTGTTTCCCAGAGCGCATACGACGTATGCATCCTTAATCTTATCAACTGAGCGTCAGGCGTCAAGGCTGGTCCGAAATTAATAATGCAGGCAAACGCGTTGCGAAGTGAAGACTACATTTATGTGCACTGCGGATTCGTAGAAGTTGACGCTACTGAACTTCGACAAATTTTGCTGTCAGATGTTTTGTGACTTCAAATTTGCGTTTACGTTCGCGCCGACTATGGGCCGGCCTTCGCTCCAAGCGAATGTGACTTCACTAGATATGTTTCAGTCCAGTGTTTTGGAGAGGGAACAACGTTAAACTTTCTAAGTTCGCAGTTCAAGTTGGTGAAGCGTGTTTTCAAAGTGGGTACCGAAAAGCACCTTGTTAAAGTGAAATTGGCAGTGATAATACAAACTCTCTTCAGGAGTTTTACACAATGTCTTGTGAAATTAAATATTTTCGGATGTCTTCTGGAAATTGAATGCATGTTTTGGCAAACTTATTTATTGGGAAACCATCCTCTTTAGATGCTCTCACAATGTTCGTTTTGAATTTACTTCTGATCCTGACTACTACCGAATAAGAGGGGGAAAGGCCTGTTTATGCTATACAGTACGAACATCACTGGACTTAATCCTAAGCTCATAGGTTGATGTATTTAAGTCGCTAAGTCGTAGGCGACGGAAATACTGGTTCCAGTTGACCAGCTACCTGCCGTTTGCGTCATTATGAGCATGCGCATAACTATTGTGGAACAGTCCACCAGTCTTGGCCTCTATCAATGGCAGCGCGTTCAGTGCGCATTACGCGTAACGCAGTAACATTACCTGTACTTGTAGACATATATGCTCTCAAAATACGTTTACTTTGCACTTTGGTACTGCTGTCTCTTCTGTTCAAATGTTGCAATTGAATCGTTATGAATATACATGGGCCAGATTAGAGGAAAAGAACATTTCCAAAGTTGGAAAATGGCCTTTTGAAATTTTTTGGGCTGAAATTCTTCAATTTTGCGTAAATTCCTTATATAGAGGAATAAATTTGTCCATAGTTTTGATTTTAATCGGGTGCCGCACCGATCATAAAATGTGCATGCAGTTTTAGTACGATCTGGTGGCCTATATCTGTGGGACCAGTTAATTTATTTTCGGCATGCCTCAATGAAAATAATGATACCAAAAAATGACTTACACGTAGTTGGGTTTTTATTGTGTTTTTGTTCACAAATTTGTGACGCGAACTGACTCGAGCTTGGTACTTGACTCGACTCAACTACGCAAAGTAACTTGACTCGACTTCTTGACCTAAAGACTCGACTCGATTCGAGTCACAATGTTGAAACGATTCAACTGTACTCGAGTCACCAAATTTAGTGACTCTTTACAATACTGGCTGCCACAAAGTGTCTCAAAAGTCTCCCAGTTCCCATGCCTCAAGTGAGCCGTCATACTTATTTAATTAATATGTGATGATAATTGACCACAAGGAGCACTGACTCATCCATGTCGTTTTGGGTCATTCACTTCTTAAGTTGTGGTGCAGGGCAGTGGCAATAATGCTACATTACTTCTACCTTTCGACCTTCATGTGGATGCTGTGCGAGGGATTCCATATTTACATCAGAGTCACCACTGTGTTTGCCGATGTCAGAGGTCACCTGAAGTATTACTTCTTTGCAGCTTGGGGTAAGATGTCTTGAGGGAATTGACTGGTAATTAGGCCCTTTAAAATTCAGATCACCCTCCGCAGTTGGGAAAAAAACGTAAAGTACGTCACGAACCGATCAGTACCTAAACCAATACCTTTAAAAAATCTGACGGCCTGATCCCCCCACCAATTTCTGGATCCACCCATGACACTCGTTTCAAAACAAGGTCACTGGCCGTCTGTACACCACAGGTTATTTTGTTTGGTTTCGGCAAATATCAAAACACTCTCACCTACTAACGTTGAGATTCGCAGAGTCGGTGCTTCGACAGAGTTATAGGCTAAGTATTCATGGACATGTCGAATTTTCTCTCTTTCGCCGCGGAGACAGCAGACAGATCCCCTTTTCAAAGGGATAAAGATATTCATCTCGCGGAGAAAAAATCACGCGGCGTGGAAAGATTTCAGGAGCAATTAGCATTTTGCCTGTGGGTGGTTGACAGAGGCTGAATGTCTATGGGCACATCTCTGGGGAGTGAGGATGGATCATACCTTGTCGACCTTTCACGGTATGTTGTTAACCAAGCAACGCAGCGAGTTGGAAACGTATCGTGCTGATTTACCTAGTGCATGGCAACCACCTTCATAGGTAGGCCTTCGGTAAAAAAAATTCTTGACGCAAGAACGGACACGGGTTCGGCAGTAAGTAACATTATGGTTGATCTTTCAGTTGAGGGGAGCGGGACATTCACTTATCCAATGGTGTTGGATAACTTGTATGATTACGTTCAACATCTGAAATGTCAGTGTAACGAAACGCTCAAAACGTTAACAGGTGCTCAATATAAAGAACTATGTTGTTTAGCAATTTTCCTGTCTACTTTATTACATTAACATGTAACATCCAGTTAACTATAACAGAATAGAAAGGAACTTTAGCCACACGTCAGTAAAAGTTATAGCACAATAAATAGACCAAAACCAACGTGCATGGGGTGTAGACGGAGGTTTAATTTTTCACAAACCCTTTCCAGGTTAAAAGGATCTATTTGGCCGAATTCTTCAAATCAGTTGGGAACAGAATAAATTCTATTTCTATATAAAAACTATTCTAAAATTTCATTTTTTTAAACTGTTCTTGATGGCAAACATTGCATAAAACAATAAAAGATTAGTGCGTCTGAGGGTTTTCAAATTTCGCCCGATTCTGCTCCGATAAACTTTTGGATATAGTTTTTCTTAGTGCTACTTATCCCTGACCTAATTCTTTGAAAACAAGTATTTCGTTCCTGTTATTTTATGTTGTCATCGGGAAACACGGTTGCCCCTTTTGAGAAGCAACTGGGCCGACTTGAAAAGAGTCCACCTTCTTTCACGGTGTGGTCCTCGGAAGTTCCATCAAAAGCAGCCTCACCAATTGCTAAATATCATGCCCATCTCGTGCGTTGATGAAAATTTCGAAATTGTTGTTTTCATCCGATTTTTCCTTTTTTTTTACTTTTGGAGTCACTTAAGGGGACCAGTAGGGATGGAAAGAGTACTCACCAGTGAGATTTCCCGAGGGAAGATGGCATGTCTGTCCCACACCTCACATAAAAAGCCCATCACGTTTCCTCCTTCATAGGGGGGGACTAATCGCGAGAGTCCCAACAACATGTTTTGCCCGTCGCCCATTTGATGGATGCAGCCGAGACAGAATGAGGACCACGTTAAATTTGACCGATATTTTCACAGCGGTCGACGCAGGCATAGAAAGGGGTACATTCTATAGGAGCTGGGGGAGGGGGAGAAGGTATTAAGATGCGTGGCTTTAGCCTATAATGACTGGTCTCATAGTGTCTACAAGAAAACACAGATAAATCAGAAAGTTTGACCAGTTTATTGGTCCAGTTATGTTGGTTCAACTCTCTTGCACAAAATATTTACGTGCACAACGACTGACGTAATTATACATTTCGGCCATGATGAATAGTTTGGGCCCAATGGAAAAATTTTGATAACACGTGAGTGGAAAGTAAGTAGACGCCGCTCCACACGTTTTCCTATTCGTGCATTCATCGTCCCATAGTTGGTATAAGTGTTGGTTTTGGGGAATATTCGTTAATTCCGATGGATTTGTTTCCACCAGGGATTTCTGCTGTGATTGTTGGAGTAACTGCTGGTGTCAACTTGCAAGGATATGGTACAGCGACGGCTTGTTGGTTGGATGCTGGCGGCAACACCCTCTGGGCCTTTGCCGCACCCGTTGCTCTCATCGTTACGGTAATGGTTCCGAAGAATTCTTCTTCTTATTCATCATCATCATCATCATCATCATCAGCC